ATATTATATACTCCTTTTATTATAATTAATGTATAATTATATTTAACATGTTTATATTTTTTTATTAAGTCAAATAATAAATTTTATACACTTTTTACTTACTCTTTTTATTTTTGAAAAAATGAAAACTTTCTAAAAGTATTCATTTAATGTTAAAAGGGTTCAGAGAAATATTTAAAATAATTATTTTTTAAAAAAGTTAGATATATATATATATACTCCTTTTTTATTATAATTAATGCTATAATTATATTTAACATGTATATTATATTTTTTATTAAGTCAAAATAATAAATTTTATAATTTTTACTTACTTTTTATTTTTGAAAAATGAAAATAAAAAGTATTTTTAATGTTAAAAGGGTTCAGAGATTTAAACGGACAATTATAATTGAATTTGTGACGGATTCGAATATTAAAGATAAAATTCTAAACGAATTCAAGATAAGTTTTGGTACTTAATTTATAATCAAGCTCAGGTTTAGATTGTGCTTTTAAGCGGCTACTCGACCCGTTGTCATCCCTATGTATCATGTCTCTATATCAAAACTTATGTGGCTCGATACATAAATTCATCTTTGAACTTTGCAAATTTATTGTGCATTTAAATTTGTAAATTTTGATAAAATTGCATATTTTTTATACTAATAACAATAACTTTTAGGATTTTTGACTTTTATATGTAGAATATTAATTTGATTTATAATTTATATAACTTTTGAAACAATAATTTTGACATTTTCTAAATATCTAATAAGTGTTTAATTCATCTTATTTTACAAGTCGGAGTACTTAACAAAAATAATTTTACAAATTGAAATATCTAACATGTATGATTCTATAAATAAAAATATGTGGTGGGTCAAAATAAAAATTAATGGTGCACAATATTAAAATAATAAAGTTGAAAGAATAAATTTATATATTCTACGAATATTATACAGTAATCTGTCCAAGAGAGAGGCTTCTGTTTTAATTGATAAATAAAAGAAATTTTAGGATAGATTTACAAATGCGAGATGTTTGGGATTCTTTTTTATTATTATTATTATTATTTTTGTATAGAAAATATTACTAACATAAATAGACAGTAATAAACTTTTTGGAGTGTGGTGATAAAAGGGTATTTAATGAAGGTGCAATAGTGAAAAGCTAAAAAAAGGTTGAAATCACAAAATTGAAAAAGCAAAAGGAGAAAGAGATTAGGCAGAATAGTTTACAATTTAACATTAAGCTTTTTCCCATTTACCTATGTTTTTGTAACCTTCTTCATCACTCCACTTTAAACAACGGACCTTTTCTAGATTTGAATTCTTTTCTTGATATGTTAAGAGCGAGAGAGGGAAAGGAAATTCATAATGCAAATGATGAAATATAATTAAGGGAGCATGTAGTTATTATAATCTTATAGGTTCCTTTACCAACCTATGAACTTATCCAGAAATGAAAAGTCACATTTTGAACTTGGGAGTAAAAAAGGAAAATGGGGTTTGAGTGGGTAAAATGATTAGTGGACCAAACTACATCCCTAATTTTAATTACATTCACTTACAAAATAATCAGATCCCCAAAAATTCTCCACGTTGCCAATGCCATTTTCCTCCTTTGCTTTTAGAATCCAATGCAAAGTAAAATATTCCGGCCTTTTCCCTTAAAAGTGGGGCCGAAAGGTTTCCCTTCTATTTTCTTAAGTCCAAGTTTCACACTATCCTGTAAAGAATTTCAAAGAATAAATTGCTACCATGTAGTGGAATCTATGATTCCAATACTTTCAAATTTGGATTTTGTTGGGATTGAAATGGATAAGTTATACTCAATTCATGCTTTATAGAAAATATCATCCATGTTTGTTTTAAATTTATAAAGTTAAATTTTAAATACCCATTAAGATGGTAGTATGATTAATCTTCGGGTCTTGAGTTTAAATTTTCTAAATAAGAATCTTGTTAGTTTGGCAGGTGTGAAAGCAGGAAATCCAGAACAAATAGGCACATGCTAGTGCATAACTCTAGATTGAGCAAGAATGCCACATTGAGGAGCACAGTCCCCTCATTAAATGTGTGTCTTATAAATTATTTAGATGCACATAATAAGAAATGAAATGAAATAATGCAACTTCTGTAACAAAATTTTGCGTGCACATAGCGAAGAGAAGACGACAGGGCAATGATAACGCACAGGCCAATCATTTTCACACCTAGATTCAAGCATCATTGTCTCTGCTACCAAATATTGGTTTGAAAATGATGTTTCATATATGCTGTGCCCGTGCTTTTGTTCTTGTGATTCTGTCTTCAATCACAGATTAGCAGCTGGGTTTTCAGCGTTTCAAATCAAATTAATAATATTAATCCCAATTTTTTTTCATTAATTTCGCTATTGAACTACTGATATCTATGAGTTAAGACTATAAAAAGAGAATGAAAATAACTATGAACTAAATATAGAAGAAATGCCATGCAGTTTCTGAATGTGATGATACGTGCAAATGAAATCATATGATGGAGGAAGTAAATAGAAACGCAGGAGATGTAAAGTAATGATTTTGTAATTTTATATCAAATGAAATGAAATAATAATGGATAAAAAGAAAGAGGTGGTCCACATGTATGTTTGTTGTTTCTTGTGAGGAAGATAATAATTCATAATTCATTAATTTTGTGTTTTGTAATAAAATTACCCCGACAATGCCACATTCACAGGGGAGTACAATGCAACAATTGTTATAAAGATGTCTTAATTGCTCTGAGTACTCTTCCTTTTTTTTTTTTTTAAGTAAAAAAAAAAAATCAATTATTGGTCAGTTGCTTCAGAAATTTTTAGTCAAAAGTTAATGGTAATTACAGTGCCTTTTCAATTGATACGTAAAGAAGACGCTCATAAAACTTAATTACCTTAATTACATTTAGGCATGGACAGGACACATTGACCAGATTTTGTTTTGGCACTGCCTGCTTACGAAAATAGAATGAGAACTGATGATTCATGGACCAGCTAAAGGTTCTTGCCATGCTTAAACTGCTGCTCCAAACTGATCTGGTTTAATGTTAATCAATTTATTTTGTTCGTTAAGATCGATGCGTCAGTCCTTCTAATGGAATGGTAATTTTGAATTCTTACTCGAAGAATTAATTTTGATTAATTTATTCATTTTTGAATTATTAATCAAATATAAAGAAAATATTAATTGTTTAATATAAATTTTTGGATAAAAGCCAAGCCAGTTTGCTTCCTAACTTAGTAATTCAGAGAAAAGCCCCAAATTCATATTTGGCTCTATTTGCCTCGTGATTTTGTAATTTTAGGTGCAATTTGCTTAAAATTAATGTTTGACTAAAAAAATTTAAATGAAAAATTAAAGAATTCAATTATTTTATTTTAAGATTGATATATCCACTCTTTTAATGGAAGTCAATTTTAAATTCGTAATTAAATATGAAAAGTTTTAATTAATTATTAAATCTCAAATTATTAATAAAAATGGAAAGCAAACATTTTCCAACATTTTTAACTGTATGTATTTTAAAGTTTTTGAAAAATAAAATCACTTTTTTTTTTTGGAAAACATTACACTGAAATATATAAATTATAATTTTTTTATCAATAAAATACAGTGAGCGTGAATCGAATATGCAATCTTCAATTAACGCTCTCTCAATTGAATTATTCCCGCAGTTATAACAACTCTTTACCGCTAAAACTTCAGGAGTAAAACATAAGTATGTATCAAAATGCAAATGATTTTATTATTAAATCACTTGTCATTTTTTAAGAAGTTCTAATAAAAATAGTAAATTCTGACTCTATTGCCAATCCTTTAGAAAAAGAAAATCATTCAAAAATAAAAATGAGACTGAATTGAATAAAAAAATAGCTTTGAATAAAAAATAGAACATAAAAAGAAATTGATATTCGAAAAAGATGAAGGAGCAATTTGTACAATAATTATGATACAGACAAAGGAAAGGAGTAGAAATGAGGTAACCTTTCGATAAAATCTTCAAACATGTCTAATGCTGACAGACTAATCTTCTTTGTAAAAAAGCTGTGTCTGTCTTCCACCACGTCCACTCCACCATACTTACAGGACCACAAACCACTATCATAATCCGTCTTAATTACAGTAAACCTTAAAATTTACTTTGTTTCGAGTGAGTGGAATTAGCTAAAAAATTTCATATTAAAGCGTTTCCCTTTGGGAGTCCAGTTCTCAGTCCAGTCAAGAATCAAACATCACGATACAAATACAATACCAACAACAAGCACTGTTTGGCGCCCGATACTCGAGAGAGAAAGAGAGAAAGAAGTATGTGGGTGGGTCCCTTCTGCGAGTAAAAGGAAATAGTGTTGTTTGTATTGCGAGGTGAGGCGGGCCCCACCCTTTGTCCCTCAATTATTATTACCTTCCCTTCCCTGCAAGCCACTGCCTCTGCCTCTTTCTCTGCATTTCTCTTTCCGTACGGCTTCTCACCTCAGTCCTCAGCTCGCTCGGCTTATATTGTATATTTTGAAATAAAAGAAAAAGATAATTATAAGAGATGACTTTTTTGAAAAAAAGAGACATAAGCCAATGAAAGGTAAAAAAAAAAAAAAAGAAAATAAAAATAAAAAAGGTGAAGGCTATCTATGAAATTAAACAGATAAAGTTTAGTTAAACATTAAACATGAATATGTAAGTTAAAGTAATTGCTAATTCTAAACGAAGTTGTCGAATAAAAAATTATATTTCTTAAAAAAAAGTACATTGAAACACGATCAATCAATAATGAAATCACACTTGACGCGAAGCAGCGCGTGACAAGGTGAAGGCGAGTTAAGTTGAGGCATATATGGTTTTCAAAAAAAAAAACAAAAAAAAAAAAAAAAAAAAAAAAAAAAACAAAAAAAAAAAAAAAAAAAAAAAAAAAAAAAAAAAAAAAGAAAAATTCAAACAAACATCGCGGCTCGTATCACGTCTCTCTCTCTCTCTCCCCATTTTTCATCAGTTGTTTTTCACGCATTGCCTGTTTTTGTTCGTTGTTTATCTGTAGAATGCCAAGGCAACCCCTTTTTTTCTTCCCCTTATAACCCCACTCTTTGACAAAAACTTCTGCAACTGTACTGCAACCAAAACAAAAAAAAAAAATCGAAATTAGCGCCCCTTCCATCTTCTCTTCTTCTTCTTCATCTCTTCTCTTCTCTTTCTTTTACTTCACCTTTTAATCTGGGCACTGGGTATTGAGTGGTGGGTATCTTAGCCATGGAAGCTTCCTCTCCTATCTCACTTCAACAAACCCCTCTTCAAGACCATAATCTTCTAAATTCTTCTCCAAAACCTTACAAAAAAAGCTTCGTTACTACCTTAATGGAGGCCGCCACTCTTCGCACTCCCTCTTTTAAAGAAGACACTTATTTCATTTCCCATCTCAAATCTTCGGAGAAAAAAGCTCTTCAGGAACTTAAAGACAGACTCTCGGTTTCTTATAGTGGGTCTGAAAGTGAATGCTCCATGTGGGGGATTCCTCTTTTGGGTAATGAAGAAAAAGCTGATGTTATTCTCTTGAAGTTCTTACGAGCTAGAGATTTTAGAGTTACTGACTCTCTTAATATGCTTGAGAAATGTTTGGGTTGGAGGAAAGAGTTTGGTGCAGATGATATCTGTGAAGAGGATTTGGGTTTTAAGGAACTTGAAGGTGTTGTTGCTTATATGCATGGATATGATAGAGAAGGTCATCCTGTTTGTTATAATGCTTATGGAGTTTTTAGAGACAAAGAAATGTATGAGAAAATATTCGGAGATGAAGAGAAACTTAAAAAGTTTCTTAAATGGAGAGTTCAAGTTCTTGAAAGAGGTATTAAGCTTTTGCATTTTAAGCCTGGTGGTGTTAACTCTATTATTCAAGTTACTGATCTTAAAGATATGCCCAAACGAGAACTTAGAGTAGCTTCTAATCAGATCCTCTCTCTCTTTCAAGACAATTACCCAGAAATGGTTGCTCGTAAGGTAATCTTTAACATTTAATATCTAATACCCATTAAATTCTTTCTTTTTTGATTTAAATTTCACTTTCTTATTTATGCAATTTTCTTTTTAATTTCTTGTTGGGGATTTTAGATTTTCGTCAATGTGCCATGGTACTTTAGCATGTTATATTCGATGTTCAGTCCGTTTCTAACTCAGCGAACAAAGAGCAAATTTGTCATCTCCAAGGAAGGAAATGTTGCAGAGACTCTGTACAAGTGTGTATTCAATTTCTCCACTTGATTTGGTTTTTCTGTTCTTGATTTTTTTAAATCTGTTTATTACATACTCTCCATGGCAACTTACTAATTTAAGTTGGGTTGTCTGAAAATCAAGATTTGTAAGACCAGAGGACATTCCAGTTCAGTATGGAGGACTAAGCCGACCCAACGATTTACAGAATGGCCCACCCAAACCAGCTTCGGAATTTACTGTAAAAGGAGGAGAGAAAGTGAACATTCAGATCGAAGGGATTGAGGTTTCACTTCTTTTCTATTAATTGTAAGTTAATCATTCAAGTCCAAAATTAGTACTTTTAGCTTAATAGGATGTGTAATAAATGATAGGGTGGTGCAACAATTACATGGGACATAGTGGTCGGAGGATGGGAGTTGGAGTACAGTGCAGAGTTCGTGCCAAATGCAGAAGGAAGCTACACCATTGCTGTCGAGAAAGCAAGGAAGATGAGCTCATCGGAAGAGGCAATTCATAACTCTTACACACCAAGGGAAGCTGGAAAAATGGTGCTGTCCGTGGATAACACTGCATCTAGAAGAAAAAAGGTTGCTGCTTACCGATACATCGTTCGCAAATCCACTGTCGTTTAGCTTGGCATTAACTCTAATAATAGTAGTTTTGTTTTATTTTATTTTTTTATTATGTTGCTAATTTTGAGAGGTTAAGAATTAATGGTTGTTGTGAGCTTAAAACTACGTTTTAGTCTTATATTTGACAGTGTACTAATGTAATGTATAAAAAAATGGTGGCTACTATATATATATATATATATATAATATATATATATATAGTTATTTTTTTTAATATATAAATGAGTAAGTGGGTATGTGTAAATCTTAAGGAGAGGGAAGGGTTATATTATTTTTTTTAATATATAAATGAGTAAAGTGTAATGTGTAAATCTAAAGGAAGAGGGAAGGTACTGTCTGTTCTCATGCTTAGGTGTTGAACATAACACATAATTTGCTTGTTTTTGATTTGTCCTTTTCTTGGAAGGTTGTGTGTTTTCCAAGGAGGAGTAAGCAGAGATAAGATATTTGATTAGACATGAAGTGGGTTTAGAGTACAGTAGTTGGTTTTGATTTTCAACTGAACCAAATTGGAACTTGTCTGAATAACCCTAACTTTTTCACATTTTTTTAAAACCTACGAGTTTGCAATTTTGAATTTGGATTAGGGTTAGTATGCTCAAGCAAGTCTTGGAAAGAATTGTGAATATAAGTAGGAAAATGACGAACTTTGTTTGATATTAGAGGGTTTTTAAACTGTGTCACCAAGAGTTGATATGCGATGACAGTGATTTTTTCTTTGATTAGAAGTCCATGATTGCGAATTTTAAATATGGAACACGTTTAAAATTTAGTAGTCAGCACGTTAGAGGATTTTAGTTACCAGATGGTTAAAAAAAAACACTAATCTCTAGTTACTATTTCTTCTACTATTAGAAAAAGATCAAGAGAAGGAAGGATTAAGTAAAATAATTTACCAATTGTGGATAATTAGAGAGAGAGCAGAGATGGCAATGCCATTCAAATTTTGGGAAAGATGCAAAGAAAAGGGCAAAACATGCCAAGAAGTAAGAAGCAAGGTCACGTGAGAGCGAGGTCACGGGGGCGTGTGGGTGTTGATTTTGCTCAGGCTTGTTCACGTGAGAGCCTAATTTCGAATTCAATTCAAGCTAAATATAAAAACCTACCTTCTACACTTCTCTGCCTAGTTTGGACTTAGAAAATGGTATTGGATTATGAATTAATTAATGCCCATGCCAAACTCCATCGATTCATGATTTTTAATATTATAATTAATAATAACTAAATAATTCATGATGTCCACACCCTAAATCAATCTCATAGGTAAGCACAAGATAAAAGGTAATGTACATAAAAATGTACAAACTTTAGACTAATAAAATACATTTTAGACCATAAGATGGTTCTCATGCAGAAATAAATTTGTGCGGACTGAACCCAAAGCAAAAGTATATGTTGGTAGGCTAATTAATTGCATGACCGGATGATGTTCCGAGTTTATTATACTACAACATATTTTTTTTTTTTTTTGGGTGTGTGTGATGATTTCCCAATCTTTAATTACCCATCATTATCATAAATACAATTCAACCATAATAATCAAATGGTTAATTGTTTCCATCAGTTGTCCAATTTAAGGAATTTGCAATCTGAAGATAGTTCATAACTTAGGCTTCTTTTGGGAGTGACATAGTCTAGGATTCTAAATAGGTTAGGTTCTAATGTTGATCCATTAAAGTTTAGAATGTCTTTTTTAAGCATGGTTTTGGGTAATTGAAATGTACAAGTAACCAATACTAACAACTGTGGAGGCCCATCAAACACACTATACCTCTTTTAGGTTTTAGGTGGAATCTAAATTGTAGCCTGCAATCCTAGTTTGAAAGATAATAATAATATTTTAAAATAAGTTTTCAAATTTCCTGTTGATTAACCTTAATTAATTTTAGGATTTCAAATAAATTGTTGTAATATTATCATCCAAATTTTTATGGCTTGCATGGTTTCACAATATATAATTGGAGTCCAAATGTATAATGTATGAAAAAGAAAACGCTGCAGCACTCTGTGTCCTTAAAGTTATGAATTTTGAAAACATTGCATATCTCTTCGTATTAATGATAATAGTATTTTCGATTCAACAGTTTTAGAATAATAATTTTCCACTATTCAGTAATAAGTGTTTAATTAATCTAAATTGAAAAATTAGAGTGTTTAATATTCCCTTGGTCCTATAATTTTTGTCATACTTTCATTTTTTATCCATTCCAAATTTTTGTATCGGTTCCTTTTTTGTTTTTTTATAAGTGAATAATATTTTAAGTTTACTATTTATCAATAAATATAATAGACAAATTATTATATTATCCTTAATAAATCTTGATATAAACAAAATTAACATTTCAATTTTTAATCTTTTAATAAAACTCTATTTAAACAAATATATAAACACTACTCGATGGCCAAATTTCCATTTACAATTTTTGAGTTTTGACCTGCTTTCAAATTAGCACCCATGATGTTTTACAAAAGCTTTATTAGCAACAGGTGAAAAGATTAAACACCACTCAACAGCAGTTTGGAAAAAGAAAAGAGAAAATATAGTCCAAACCAGTTTGCAAAATAGACTATCAAGCAAGAAAATATTTACAATTTTTGATTTAGTAAGGAGCAACCTTAATTAATTTTCACACGTACAAAAATTTATTAACAAAATAACATAATATTAAATGTCAAGTACTATCACTTGAAGCAAAACTTGAACCAGGCGCATCACTGATACTTTCTCTTCTTGATATGTTTCTTGGACAAGCATTTCTTCCACTACAGAAGCCTGTTGTTGTATAACAAGCACAGGTGCTTGGCAATCAAAATCTGAAGATGCCAATATATTTCCAATTACACCTAATTCATCAATCACTTTCCATTCTGATAGTCCTGTTATTGCTGAAGATTTCGGATCATGTCTTCTTCCTGCCAAAATCAGGTCGAAGCACCTCGAAGCACCGTTGCAGTTTCAGATCCTTGTGTTACTGTATATTCAACAAATTTCACAGCATTGCTGCTACTACTAGTGCGAAGCTTGAACTCGTTTATATTACTTATATCGCGCCTTTTTTCTATTAAATCAGCGTCGCTTTGATCTTCTGATATGAATCTTATAACTGTAAGCATAATGTATCTATGCATAGCCATGCGTGCACGAAATGCTAATGTTTCACGATCATCAGGACCTCCAAGAAAAAGTAGGCACACCCTTTTCATAGCCTTGCAAGGCGCAATTGATGCTCTAATTTTTCCATTGTTGAAAAGAATGCCAACAGAACAAGGAGCATATTGCAAGATATTCTTGTTGATAATTGTGATAGAAGGATCGTCAGAATGTTGAAATAGTAAGATTATTAAGGATGTAAACTTCCCTTGAGCCATAGAACAAACAGCATCATGTAATGTTGGATAAGGTGCATAGGATGTGTAGCATTGAACCATGGAAAGTCCTTCGTTTCGATATCCAATTCGACTTAAGGCTTTGATGATGCGATCGATTTCATGTTATTTATGATCAGTTGATGAAGAAGTACCAAACTGGAGTGAGATAAGAAGAGGGACTGTGCCTATTTCTGATTGCTTCAGGTTCATAACATAAACTTCAATTGGGTCTTCTTTTGTAGGATTAGAATCTTCAAGCAAGTTAATAATGGAAGGCACATTGTCTTGTTGATGGATAAAAGCAAGAATTCTCAACTCAGCAGAACGTTTGAAACTGTGTTGGACTGTTCGCCCTTTATAAGCAACATATCTTCTTGAAGGATCATGCAGAATTTTAGCTAGCCATGTAAAAACAGCACAATGCAATGCACAGGATATGTTCAACATGGCGTAGGTCTCATTTGAGATGAACATTACTTTATTTGCGCGAGAAAAAAGTTGCACATCAAAAAGTCCTTTGCAATTCAATATGAATCCCAATGAAAGAGCATCACGAACAGATAATTTGAAATAAATTGCGGGGATAATAACAGATAAAAGCCTCGCTGCAGAAGCTACAATCATTGTTAACTCAACAACAGCAAATTTTTCAACTCCCATGGCGAAAATGTTGGTTCTTTTACAAGCATCAAGAACGTAACATGGTACCAGAATTGTTTCTACAAAGCAATCAAGCTTCTCCATTAAACTAGAAATCATTGGAGAACCATCAGAAGTAGCCAATCCTAAACTTACAGGCGCAAAATGAAAATGTTGGCCCATATATTCCCCAAAAAGAGCAGAAGAAAGTACCATCAAGCAAATATCACAAATAAATGACTCCTTCAAAGGCTTTCCATCTGGGGTTTGTCTAACGATCCAAAGCATTATTGGGCGTAAAATGAAAAAAATTATCAAAATCAGAACTACTTTGCTAATCTGTGAGTATACTATTCCTGATTTTACAAGTCTTAGTTCAGTGTTTGCTTTGACTTCAAAAGTAAGTGCTAGAAAAACCCAACTGCTTAATCCACTGATAATAGAAGAAGAGAGAGCTAGACGGCCTAGTTCAGAATTCATAAGCTTGACGTCTGTCAAGACGATTAAGATCACATGAAAAGAAGCAGTAGATACAAGAACAGCAACTGATGGAAGGCTTTCGTAAATTTCAAAATCTGAGTTTCTAAAGTATTCCCGTATAAAATAGGCAAAACCAGTAGTTACCACCAGAGGAACAATAAGAGAAGCAGCAGTGCCTATAACAACTGCAAGTCTTCCACATTCCCTTAGCTAAAGGGTTGCTGTGTTCAAAACAAGAAGAGATCCTTAATACGGTGAAAAGAGAGAAGACAAGATTGCAAGTTCAAAGACCACAGGAAAAGAGCACAATCTCTTTAGAGAAAAGGGATTGTTGTGTTCAATGGCAAGAACAAACTTTCAGATTGGTCAAGAACAAGAGAAAAAACAAGAAGAAGAAACAAAATCTCCTTTTGAAAAGAAAATTTTCAAGAAAGAAACAAAAATAAAGCCCGAGAAGAATGGTTTATGTCATAACAGAAGTTGGTTGGAGTTACTAATTTGGTTCGATATCAGATTGTTCTCTTCCTCTCATTCGGATGGCCTAAAATTTGGACAAGAATAACTTTATTTTCTTAGAAACTAATTTTAATTGATGTTTATTTTTGTTAATGTGAATTTTTAGACATGTTGTATTTAAAAAGTTGCTTACTTGGTAGCAAATGAGAGCTCTCTTCCATCTCAGTCAGATAAGATAACATTCTAAAAATAATATTTTTAAATAAGTTAATTCAATATACAATAAAAATGTATTTGCTTTCAAGATTGTTAGAAGAAAAAATCTCCAATATAAATATTGATGATATATCTTTAATCAACCATCAATAGTATTGTTTAATTGTTCGTCAGAAGGTCAGCAAATAAAGTTGCAGGTCAGCAGAATATCTGGAAGTGACATTTTGTTATATTTCAAATAGATTTCTTGAAATTTTGTTAGATATGAAAGAAAGATTTCAAATAAAGGCTCATAAGATCTCGAGAAGAGAACCGATATGTGAAAATAGAGAGGAAAAAGAAATTAAAATTATTACTTCTTCCAGCCATAATCAGAACTTCTAGCTTTTTTTTTTTTTTTTTTTTTTTTTTACTTCTTCCAGCATATATCAGAATTCTAGCTTTTTTTTCTTTTTTTTTTTTTTTTTTTTTTTTTTTTTTTCATAACAACGTAAAGTTTCCAAACCTAAATTCATTTGGTATTAGTATATATACAAGAAGAATAGGAGAGAAGAAATCGCCAAGAGAAAAATTAGAGAGTACCAAGAGAAAAAAAAAAATTCTTGTGAAATATCATATCTTCAAAAATGATTTTTTTTTTTTGTCCTCTTTCTCGCTATGATTTTCAAAAGTTACCAAGCCTCACCATTTGTGATCCAATCGCAAAAACTTCGTATAGAAACCTATGCATATCAGTTCTAGGATCATCGAGGGCTACTAATTTGCCGAGCTTGACTATAGACGCACTCCACTTTTCATCATCATATTGAAGCAAAATACTCAATTTCATTTCTCAGTTGCAGAAAAAACCTTCGAATCCGATTGATAAGCAAGCCTCGGCACAATGTGGAGAAGTTTACGGTGATGCGATTGGTTAGATTAATGACTCATTTTTTCATTATCCTATGAACCAAACACATGACTAGAATATGAATTCTTATTATATTAAATACAAGATAAAAATTATATTTTCTATTCCATTTTATTTCTTACTTCAGACTAAACATAGTCTAAAAAGTTTTTAAATTTAATCTGGATTCATATAAATTGGATCCCAAATTAATTACTCCTTCTATAAAATATAATCTAATCTCCACCATTCAAATATGAAAAATAATAAACAAATCCTCATTTTATCTGTAGTGACTAAATAATTTCTTGCAATGCAAAATGCCTAAATGCAGTATAAACAAAAATAATACATCATAACGATAACATAAATGGCAAGATAACCTTATATGACGACTGTTGCCTGTCAGCTCTGGGATCAGTCCTAGCAACTGATTTCCAAGGCTTGACAAAAGCTGCACTGAACATAGCATCATCGAAGGGCACTGGCATACTGAAGTTTACAGCCGATTTGATCAAGAAAAGTTCAGACCCAGTGGTTAAGTCAGTCCTGACAGATTGCTCCGAGGATTACGGTAATGCATTGGATGAAATTAAGGACTCATTTCGTGCTACTGAGACGAAATCTTATGGTGATAAAACATGGGTTAGTGCTACGATGACTTATTCTGAATTCTACGTGGATGGATTGAAGGAAAAATCTGAAGTTAAATCTCCATTGATTACTATCAATACAGAATTTAACCAGCTTTGTAGTATTATCTTAACATTTAAAAACCTCTTGTGAAAAAATTAAAATCTTGTGTATTGTATACTCATCTTATTGATTTATTGATTTATGCGTGATTGTAAGATGAGATTACTTGTGTGAAGTAAATAATGAAAAAAATAAAGTGATTTATGCCTAATTGTCTTTTTTAAGTTTCCATATGATGAAATTATTGAATTCTTGATTTAATGCTTATGCTTGTTTAGAGAAAAAAAGGAAGGGGGGGGGGGGTACAAGACTTCTGAGGAAGATCATCCATCATTGATCACCAATCAAAAAAAATGATGTTACAAGACTTCTGAGGAAGATCATCCATCATTGATCACCAATCAAAAAAAATGATGTTACAAGACTTCTGAGGAAGATCATCCATCATTGATCACCAATCAAAAAAAATGATGTTACAAGACTTCTGAGGAAGATCATCCATCATTGATCACCAATCAAAAAAAATGATGTTACAAGACTTCTGAGGAAGATCATCCATCATTGATCACCAATCAAAAAAAATGATGTTACAAGACTTCTGAGGAAGATCATCCATCATTGATCACCAATCAATTATCAATTACCAAATCATCAAACTACAACACCTTCAATCATCAAATGGATGGCCTTGACCTTGACCTCCCTTTTGATAAATTTTCGTTACTGTTGGCCTTTTAGCAACAGTGGCTATCTCCGAGCAATGCACGCTTGCGTGGCTAACTTCCGAATAGTTTTCTGCAAGTTCTGTGTGATTTGCACTCACCCTGCTCACTTCAGAGAAGGATCTTGATAACACTGTTCGACTCTTTAGGAATAAGCATACAACTGCACAGTCATCTACTCTGCAACCTGGATATTTATTTTTCCATGCTCTAACTGCATACTTTACTAGTATTTTAGCAGCCATGGATCGCTTTCTTGCCGAAGCAACTATGTGAATCACATCGTAGTTTGATAATACATCCCATATCTATAGAAAAGAGAGAAAAAAGATATATTTATACATCTTTCAAGTTAGACATTGCAAGAAATCAAAAATTTATTTTCCAAAATCAGCTTTAGACTTATAAAAACAATATGCAAGAATTTATTATATTCATCATCGGCTAATTTTCTTTTCTTTTTTTCTCTTTTCTTACCCCATCAGTCGCAAGAACCACAAATTCGTCATTGTTTGTAAGCCGTCTATAAGAAACTTCGGGAATTGAAATGAGCCCATAATCTTTCAAGCAGAAATCTCCAAAGGCCCTGGCCATGGCCAGACCAGGACAGTCTTCGTCAGGCATCCATATCCTAAACACTTCCGGTTCTTCTTTCATTGCAAAAATTCTACCTTTGCTATTCTTGATTCTTTCAGCTTCACCTAAAGACATTGAAACAAGGTTGGCAACTTAGGATTTGTTTGATGAGAAAATTGCAATATTGAAAATATTCAAGTCATTGTAAGGTATGTTTCACATGTTTTAAGTAACGACCTCAATAAAAACAGACTCACAGACTCCGAAGAATTATTTTGGCACGTTAAACAGATTATGATAAGAAAGAAACCACTGACTCGCAATATTGGGTTTCAAATCAACTGTGAGTTGGACGGGAACAAGTTGGTTTCCATTGCTTCTAGTACATAGAACAGCGCGCGAATCGCCCAAATTGGAGACTATCAAGTGATTTCCCTGGAAGAAAGTTGGAAAACAAAATAAATCAAAATCTCACAATGCGTTAAACATGAAATTAACAGCAATTGCATATATAAATTACCTGTTTAACTACGGTTACAGCAGTAGATCCACTGCAAAAGCTATCAATACTGGCATCAAGACTAAGTTCTTCATCCATTTCCTTAAAGCATTTAATGAAACTGGCCTCCAATGAAGACAAGAGACGACTGCCTTGATCACCATCTTTGCTACCATTACCATCATTTCCATCAGTACCATATCTGAAGTTGTTAGCCTGTGATAATTTGATGGCTGCAGAGAGCCTCGAGGGTAAAGTATCACGGACATGGCGCGAAACCTTGTGACCATAGGGACCATGGCCATCAAACACACCACAGAAAAACATATCTTTATTGCCAAGAAATTCCTGAATCAAACTTCAAATTTTAGTTTAATGCATTAGATTGTTTTATACATATATACAAAAACTGCTGTCATCTGATTAATTATCATGAGCTGAAACAAATTATTATGCAAGTCTAGTTCTAATGGAGAGAAAAGGCTTCCTTTTTATCAAAACAAAGTCCTCCTGAATCATCTTTCACCGATATGTATAAACGTCATGCTTAGCTTCTATAATGCTGATAACGGTGTCTTTATTTATTTATTTATGTATTTCCATTTGAAGAGTATCAAATTGAATGATATCACCATCTATTTAAGATTATTACTATATAGACACAATTGGGCAATAGGAATCAAATATCACCAGAAACAACCTTATCCCTCAATTATCAATAAACAACATAAACATTATCAGAAATACAATTTCCTTGGAAACCCATGTAAGAATTGCAAGCAACATACAAGAAAACAATACCAATGTTCCAATGGCAATTTATCATAACAAATACATAAACAAACAAACAAAGGGTTAGACATTATAATGGAATATGTTATATTTTTATATGCATATGTTATGATCCATAACTTCAGACATTTCCATGAAAGAAAATCTATGATAACAATCAAGAACCAAAGACATACATAAACGGCAAAGAATGGGATTTTATTGAAACGACGGATGGATTTAATTACCTCCCAAACGGTCATAGCATCTTGATTAACCCCCTTTTTGCCTTGTTGAGAATACATAGAAATGAATTTAGAAGCTCCTTGTAATCTCATGCGGGCCCCATAATCTGCAATTGTTACATGATCATCTTCCTCAATGACCTCATAATCTCTGTCTTCAACAGCATCCTCCACCGCCCCCCCTTCACCAAGACTGGAATCCTTACTACAACATGCTCCCATTCCTTTAGGTTATCAAACCCCAAAAGAAATGAAAAATCAAAATCAAACAATTTCCCTGAAAAAAAAGGGAAAATGAGATTTTTCAGTGGAGCCAACTGGCTCAAAATTTGGAAGGGGGTCAAGGGAGGAGGAAATCTTTTTTCGTTTTAAGGAGAAAGAAAAGGAAACGAAAAAAGAATCCATGCATAAAGAGAAAAATACATGCTAAGAAAAAATAACAACTTAATAATAATAACAATAATATAATATAAAAAAACAACTTAATAATAATACTAATAATATTACATTTATCAATTTGTATTTTTCTTCAAATTTAGACAATCCTCGTTCCCTTTAAGAGCAACTCATTATAATTAAAATCATTCCAAGTTAAAAAAAATTAATTCTAAATTTTAATTCAAATGAATAATATCCAACATATTCATAAACTATATATAATCTACAATTATATAATCTATCTATAATATATATAAATGTACGAATAAGAAGGTACAACTACTCCAATTAAGTTTATGTATTAATAGAAATACCATTAAGGATTTTAATTTTATTGGTTGAAAAAATAAATCTAATTTAATTTTGATTGATTATACTAATTTCCTATGTAAATTTAAATTCTATTGTATAAAATAAGAAATTATATATATTAAATTCTATTGTTAAAATAAAATATATATATTAAATAAGATAATATAAATATTGTAAGAATATCAATAATTTTTAAATATTTTTAATTTATTGGTTTGAAAAATAAAGTAATTAATTTTATTGAGTTAATAATTTTCTATTTAATTATAATCTATTGCGATAAATTAAATAAAATATGTTATATATAAATTCAAGGTATACTGGATATGAAAACACAATATAAAAAATTCAATTGATTAAAATAATAAATTTTATAATATATTAAATATAGTAAGAATATGAATTTATTTGATAAGATAAAACATTAAATTGTATATTAGTAAGAATATAAGAATTTAATTTGATAAGATAAAAAATTAAATTGTATATTAAATATGATAAAAGCATAAAAATTCAAATTGATTTCCTGATAATATCTAATTTGAATAAATAATTAAATAATGAAAGTTTGGTAAAAATAATTATGTTTTAAACAATAAAAATTTATTGCATAACAAAATAATATTTAAATTAATATTTTAATTTCTTAATATTAATTATTAAACTATCTGATTGTATAAAGAGTTAATTATTTTACATTATTTTAGGTTAGTAAAAAATCTAAAAGCAGTTTAAATAAACTGTTAAGAAAATAATTAAATAATTAAATAAAAAATAAAAAATTTTGATATTTAAAACTAACCTATTTAGCCAACTCTTACAAAAAAATAATAAATAAAATTCAATTAAAAGAATTAAAAAATTGATACTTATTATTAAAATTTATTATTGTATTTTCAATGTAGAACATAAAATCTATGAAAAATAACTTAATTATATATTATTTAAAAATCATAAATATAACTCAATTAAAAATCTTATTAAATTACCACTTTATTATAAATTACCAATACATATGTTTAATTGTTATAGGAACAATAATATTTTAGAACAATTTTAGAACAATTTCAACATATGATATATTATTAAATCCAAGATAATTAAATGTACTTATATTATACATATATATAAATATGATATGATTTGATTTGATTTATTTAAAAAAAAAAAAAACTGAACTCAAACTATAAACTATTTTTTATAAAAATTGTCATCAATTAAAAAAAAGAAGAAGAAGAAATGAGTACCTGAGCAGTGAAAACTCCTACGTGGACTTCATTTTTGGATTGAAGAAAGGAAAACTTCATCGTTTTTATCTCTTCAGAGGTTTGTTCTCAAAATATTCGTCTCTATAATTAATATATCTCCAATGTATTTCTATCATATAACATTTTATACCTCTTTTTATAATTAATTAATATCTCCAAAAATATTATATTTTACATAAGAGTTAAAAATAAATAAATAAATAAATAAAATTATAAAAAATTAATTTAATATAGTTCTGACTAATTTATAAGTAGGAAAGAAAAAAGAAAAACTGAAAACCAAATGTTGACTTAACACTCGGTGAATATCCAATTACATCTTCCCAAAAAAAGTCTGGTTTTTAAAATGTTGAGATACTCTGAACTTCTACATTACCTTCATAAAACGTGATGCCTTCTGTTTCTGCCATTTTGTTTTCTTTTCTTTAAATGTTACAGATAGAATTCAGATCTGACAAATTATCTTAGAGATGGAATTCATATGCCATTAAGACCATCAAATTAATTTGGATTTGCATTCCTATTAATTAATCATCAAACTAATTATCTGTTACGTGTCAGATTGTACAATATTCGTAAAGAAAAGACATCTCAATGCCATGCTGTACAGTAGCAAATCCATCCTTGACTTCAGGTCTTTCCTACAAGGATTTCAAAGCCGGAAGGAAAAGGAATAGTGTTGTAAGTCTAGGTCGTTTCAGAATAATTCTTTTGAGTAATTTTTCAATTTTACTCTTATAGACACATTAATTAAGAGTAATTTTAATTAAATTAATCAACTTTTTATTATAATTTAGAATTCCAAAAATAAAAATTTATGGATGGAGTATTGTACATCATATCAATTTATACTTTTGGACAGTAAAATGCAAGAGAAATAAGAGAACAATGAAATCCATACCGAAAACTGAAATAATTGAACCTTTCATTTGCAGCAACAATTCTTACATGAAAATAACAAGGATATTTAAAATGTGAGTTCTTTCTTTTAACCAAAAAATTAAAAAATAAAACCTAAAATGTTCCAATAGATGTATAGGACTGTGACCAATCACCACCATTGATGAACAAACTAGAACCTAAAATGTTACAAAAGAATCTATTGGATTTTCTTACCAATCACCACCATTGATGAACAAGAACACCACTGTCTCTCAAAGAAGTAAAAAGTTTTAAGCATTGTCCATAAGTTTTCTCATATTTGGGGCTCCTCTGTCCAGGACAACATCTTTGCCACCTATTGTAATGGCATTCAAGAAAGATTTCATCAATCAAACAAATTGCACCTGTTTTAAACAATCGAGGTATTAAATCAAACTCGGTCCCTTCCACGTCCATCTTCATCACCACAAAATCCTTCTCTGTCACCGTATTCTTCAACCACTCTGCAAAATCAAAACCCTGAATCTCATCTACTTCTCCATCAAAATTCTCATCAGTCTTAGCCGATAACTTCGCCGGCTGGATTCTTCCCATTCCTCTCCCTTTATCCTTCACTTCCTTACCAGGGTCGCGATTAATTTCAAAAGTTAATGTTTCATTCTTCACCCAGGCTGCATATGGCAATAATGTAACACCTTTTTTCAACTTGTACTCTCCGTGAAAAGCTTTATCAGCCTCAATTGCATACACTTCAAAAGTTCTATTCTGTTTTGGGTATAGCTTCTTGAACCAACTTCCTATGCTAGACCCATAACTCCTAGCTCCAACATCAACATAAACATATCTATTCTTAAAGCTTATATCAGCCATTGATGACAAATACTTTATGTTCTTTATATTCCTTTTTAAAGTAATCCATGGCTTCAAAGGCTCCTCTTTAATCAAAGGCTCCGCATTTTGGATTAGTACCCGTTTATGCTCCGGGACAGAGCACTTATTCACAGAACTTCCGCCGGACTCTTTCACCGGCCGGCCAAAATTCCCAGCCTGTTTTTGCAGCACAATTTCTCTAATATAAGGCATTGACGGATCGTAACCATCTATATTATGCGACTTTATCAACATGCAAGAATTAAACAAATCAAGGAATGAATTAAAGCTATACGTATCTTTTGCCCTCACGTGGACCACCACAAACCCTTCGGGTTTCAAAGTCCGGGCGATTTCCGATGCCAGATCCACCGGCCGAGACGCTTTATCGAGACCGCCTTTACCAGAGAAAACGAAGTCAAAGGTATTATCATCGAACGGCAAGCGACTCGTTTTACTGGAAATTACCAAAGGCTTAAAAGCTTTCTTGAAAATTCCAACCGAATCGGATACGCCGATCTCTTTCAAGGCATAGACGTCCTGTCCGTTTGGTGTCTCTACACATAAGGACTTGAAGCCCGGCGAGAGATAACCTTCTGACATCAGATCCTGAAACACCGAGGAGTAGAATTGAACGGCCTTGATCCAGTCTTTGCTGGTGTAGAGATCGCCTTGACTGAGACCCGCCGGCCGAACTGCTTTATTCACCGCAGAAGCGCCAGTCCCAGCCGCGGGAATAACAAAGTTAAAATTTTCCGGCAGGGAAAAAAAGCAGAAGTCACCGAGATTACAAGACTCGCCGGCGATGGTGACAATGTAAGCGAATCGAACGATGATGATTAAAACCCCGAATAGAAGCACCCGTGCTATTAAATTCCTGAGAAAGCTGGGTTTGCCAGCGGTGGTCTCCATGATTATCAACCTATACACCTAACTAAAAAAACAACAATATTGTCTGTGTGGTTTGTTTAAGTGGAAACGAATCTAAAAACCTAGCAATCGGAGCAAAATACACCAGTTAACGGGAGCAGAAGCGGGCAGAGGTGTGGTTGGCTCCGACAAGGACACTTCTTCTGGAAGCAGTGGCACAAATAAGGAAATAGAGAGAGATAGGAAGGGCAGACATGGAAAACATGATGGATTTTGCTCAGGCGAGAGCTTAGGAAAGAGAGATCATCGCTTGCTGTAAGAGAGTGAACGAAAGAGCTGAAATTTGTGAGAAATCAGAGAACGGGGAGAAAAATGACCAGAGATTTGAGGATAAAGACCAAAGATCCGTGGTAACCGGAATAACCGGTTAACACGCGGAATGGAAATGGATTGGAGCTGCGTGGAAAGTGAGGAAAAGAGAATTGGAGTTCAAACTTACCACTGAATTGCTTTCTAAATATCAGGATTGCCACCACCACCAACTTCTTTGCTTTGCTTGCGTTTCTGATAGCGACGTCGTCTTGTTTCTAGTATTATCCAATTTTTTGCTTTGTATAAATTATATAATTTATTTATTAATCAAAAGAAAACAACCTTCTACCAATACCATATTATTAAAACGACATTCTTCCAGTCGATTTGTACTAACTCTCCTAACTAATCAAACGTCTTTCCATAATTGGCAACTATGTCGTTGTCTTTCCTTTCCCTGTCAATTTCTTTTTAATGTTTATATGTATTTCTCAAAATTTTTAATACAAGTCCGGTGAATATTAGTTGATAATACTAGTTAATAATTAATCGAGCATAAATTTAATAGTATGATAGTTAGAATATCCTTCGAAAAAAAAAAAAAAAAAAGATATCACATTAAATAAATACCAAATATAACAAATAAACTGAGGATAGAAAATCTGATTAAGCAACACATAGTTTAATGTTAAGGTGTAATATAACGAACTTAACAATGGATTTAAGTTTAAATCTTTTTTTTTAAATATTAAAAAAAAAAGAGAAATTGTTTTTTTTTTTTTTGAAATTGTTTTTTTTTTTTTTTGGTAACATTTGCTATTTTCAAATGGATTAAGAAAATGATTGAAATTCATTGATTGTCTAAAAGTACATGGTAAATTATAAATTGTGCTTCTTAAATATAAATATAAAAATAAATTACACCTAATAAATATGGATAAAATTGAAAAGAAAATAATTAATAGTCTCAAAATCTCTTAATGAGCACTTATAGTGGAACAAGTTAAAATGTCTATTTATAACTATTAAAGTGAAATGAAGGGAGTATCAAATAGGCTTAAATAATTAGTTAGTTCTGAGATAAAAGGACTCGTATGAGAGGATATGTTACAACATGATAATCCATTAAATAAGATGACGTATTACGAATATGATTAGATTTAACTTAATTGGACTAAGTCCACTTATGATATAAATAAAAAAAATTATAATATTAAAGTGGTTGGATATGATTAACCCTTGTAAACATGGTTCGCACTAATTGATTTGCAATTGAATAGAATTAGGGTTGGAAGGATGTGTTTAATTCTCATAGGTATGTTTTACCATACATACATATAGAAGTTTTTTTTACTGAAAAAGAAAGAAACGTGTATCCCAAGTGGTAAAAACTAGTAGATTGTAAAATAAAGAGCATTGACCAAATAATTGAATCTAAATAAAAGAGCTACAAAAGTTGTTGCAAAGAAATGTAATGAACAATGAGAATGATAGCAGCAATATTGAAAAGTATAAAAAATAATAAATATTGGGATTTTTGTTTTGAAATTTAAATTTTAGGAAATTTCTATTTGTAGAGAGTAAGGAAAATAAACATTATTTTCCTTCTGAGTCTATAAAATTATAATCTTTTTAATTTGGATAAAGAATAATGAATCAATTAAAAAAATATTATTTAACGTGAAAAACATTTAATTATTTTTCTTTCTCCATTATTTTCTTTACTCTCCTTTTCAAATAAAACCTTAGAAATTTTAAGGTTTTAGTATTTATATTTTTTTAATGAATTGGAAAGCATTTTGAGTGAAGGGTTTACTAGATTTCTTAAAGATAAATTTTGATAAAAAATTTTTTTCTAAATACATATTTTCATTTAACTGTATTTTTTTTTCATATGTATTTTAAAGCACAATTAAAAATATATTCATTTCTAAAAAAAATTCAGATAAAACGTTTACAACTCCGAAGTGTTTAATAAATCTTTAGAACATAAAAGAGAATAGTATTTCAAAAATTCACCTCTTTAATTTTGAATTTACCAATACCAGCCGCTATCTTAATAAACTAAAGTTGAAAATTTAATATAAAATTCCTACTTTTTAGGATGGATTTTTATAAAATCATGTAATTAAGTTAAATATAAATATTTTTAAGTAAAATATCTCCGATATTTAATCTATGAACTCTTTCAAGAATTACTTTGTCTTGTATCCGCGGCCCATCTCGTTCGTTCATATAGCAGAGCAGCAAATAGGACCTTAATCGGTAACATGGTCGAAGTTCACCGGTTCAGTCGGTCATCCCACGAGATATTCTTTGGGCCAAACGAAGAGAGAAAAGCCAGAAGCAGCCACGCTTCCCACCGGTCGAACTAAACCCGGTGCTAGCCGTTATGTTTTATTTGTATTTAGTATATACCTACGGTACCCTTAAGCTGAAGGAATCATGTCCCAAGCAAACAACCAAAGAAGAAGAATATGGGTGTCAGCTTCGCTGTCGCCGTGTACAACAAGTGGCAAAACAGATGTACTTCATTACTTCATTTGGTGACAGTTCACACCGCTGTGGCTTACCAAAATATTTACCAACATTTCTTAATTTATTTTCTAATCATAAGATTTTTTTTTATTTTCCATAAATGGTGATCTAAATGCTATTGTCGGTGTTGGTGTTACATTTTAATTATATCAAGTACACTTGATTAATTTTTTTTAATAATGTAAATAATAAAAAAAAAAGAATATCACAAGGATTTGAATACGTTGACTAATGACTACTACTTTAATAAAAGGGACCAATTTCTCCTGCTAAATTAATTCTGTGGCCAGTGTTGTTGGTTTTTTTATATGTAGTAATATATTTTATGATTCTTTCTTTCATTTAAATGCATCAAGTGCGCGCATGCCACTGCAGGAGGAATTGTATTTCTACATATTTATAATAAAAATTTATTAAGATTCAATTCTAATTTAATAATCTTATATGTTTAAGGAATTGGTAAGTCTTTCCCGTGACGTGGCATAGGAGAAAGTGCCAACAGAAATTGAAGAACAAAAAGTAAAAAAGAAAAAGAAAGGAAAACGGACATGCAGTAACTGCCACCGGATTCAACGGCCTTAACGACGCAGGTCCAGTTGCTTTAAACTAGAGTCCAACAACCCATTATTTTGTTTGTCTGGGCGCTGATCTAGTGGTAGCACCACCGCATGGTCCCACTAGACCTTCATGATCACGGCAATGATTGCCGTAGGATGGCTGCTTCTTCTTTTTGTGGGGTCATGGCCTTCTGTTCTTTTGACTCTTTCTTTCGTTGTTATCATGTCAAATTATTTATCCAAATCTTATGGTTATATTATTTCATGTATTATAAAAATAAAATATAAATAATCTGCGGAACTTCAATAATATTTTATTTCGCGGCCAGCGTAGAAGGAATTCAAAATTCTTAATAATATATTTTTTAAAATGGAAGTTTTTTTTTTAGGAAAGAAAGTAAAAGTTGAAAGCAGACTGTTGGTAATAATTAAATTGTATTTCATTATGTAAAATATAACTTCATATGAGGATTTATAGTAGCAAATCAATTTGGAAAGTTTTATTTTATTTATAAAGTAGAACTAATATGGAAAGATTTATCCACATAACGATAATAATTGACTAAATAATAGTAAAGACGTTCTTTTTTTCTTCTGAAAAAAAAAAAAAAGTAAGGGTGTCTTTTCATTTAAAAAAAAATAATGATAAGAAATGGTATTTCATTTTTAAAAAATAATCAATCATCAACCAACTATATTAAGAAAAAATATATATATTTAATATAAATAAGCATTTTTTATCTAATATATATTTAGAGGGTGTTTAGCTTGATAATTTATTCTTAATTTTTTGGCTTAAAATATATTTTTAATTTATGAATAAGTAGTTAAAATATTAAGTAAAACAACTTAAATGATACTTTTAAGTTGTTTATGTATTTGGTTAATAATTTTTTGAAAGGAACTTGATTTAGCTAAGCAATTGTGATTTGGTTGGTTTTTTTATATTTCATGCAAGAAGAAATGGAGAGTGAGAGGTCTCGAATTGAAATACTTTCCACAACAGTTACAAAAATTATCACCAACTTGTACGTGTATTAACTAAATAGAAAGTCAAAGGATTAGTTAAAAACAAGGGTAGTATTGATATTTTTCAAACTTGTTAGGAGAATATATTTATGACTTTCAACTTATTTTAAGTAGTTTTTTAATTTATCATCTTAACCAAATACAATATTATTTATAATTTTCTATTTAAAAATAGATTTAAAAAATCCAACGAAACACAAATATGCATTATGATAGCTCATTTCAATTATTTAGAAAAACTACAACACAATAATGTACATAAACAAAAAATTTTATCTTAATGAAAATTGAAGAAATATGAAAGGAAATTATATTTTCTGAAAGCAACACATGTCAAGTTAGCTAAGCTATATAGCCAACACATTTATCATTTTATTTCAACTGCATAATAAATTGGATTTCATATGAATACAGCAGTTTTTCTATGAAATTAATAAAATTAACGATGTTCCTTATACTGTGTTCGTTCTATAATATTTATCACATTTGAAAAAATAATTTGTTCCAAAATACTTGTCACATTTGTGGTTTCAAGGAGTAATAAATATTTTTTTCATATTTAATTTTGAAAACAATACATTTGCTTCCAAAATACTTGTCACATTTGTGTTTTCAAGAGTAATAAAATATTTTTTTTCATATTTACTCTTATGTATATAATTAATAATTATTGCTTTAATTTAATAATTTTTTTAAAAAATTAGTATTAAATTAATTACTCTTTGTATATAATTAATAATTATTGCTTTAATTTAATAATTTTTTTAAAAAATTAGTATTAAATTAACGGTAATATAGTCAATTTACTCAATAACTTACTGTAACTTAGATAAATTAAATGATTTTCTTGAGAGACGTGAAATTTCAAATTTGACAAGTATTATGGAACAAAGTAGCAATTAAGTTTAATAAATAATTAAGAGCATCATTGTAATTAGAAGCGATAATTTTTAATTACACGTGTTCAAAATTATTTAGTTAAATACTATATCCAATTGGATTTTTCACATATTAATTCGCGCTCAATTGTATTTAAAAAGATTAACTTATTAAATTGACTTAATTTAAATATTAAAAATATAATTTTTTTTTTTACTAAAATTACATGCAATTTTTATTTGGAACTCACCGGAAGAATTCTTCTTAGAGTAAGACTAAAATTTAATCGCGCGAGATCGGCTCATTAAGAGGTAAAGCACTTCTACTTGAGAATGGTACTTAACTACTCATTCCAACACTATTTCAATATTTGTGCTAATCTAATGAAGAGGGCCAAAACAAAACTATAAAAGGAAACACAATGGGGACATGGCCACCCCTCCTCAATTTCAGCCTTAGCCATGTTAGTAATTGATGCTAACTACATCCAACTAAGCATTTATTAGTTTCCTAAATTAGTAAATTTTAAGCATATTTAGGCCATGTCTTTTTGGGGGCAAGTATGAAGGGGAATCTAAGCTTTCAGGAAAGTGAAATTGACAATGTGTTTGGTTGCACTAAATAACAAGTTATTGGGAATTCAACAATATCACTTCCTTCACGTTATAGGAATCAACTTCTCTAATAATTTGATTCCTGAAAGCTTATTCTCCCGTCTCAAAATATAAGTCATTTTTTGGATGATAATTTTGTCTTAAAATATAAGTTGTTTTGAGTATTTTAAGAAATAATAAATGATATTTTTCCATTTTTACCATGATTTCATTCGATACAATAACTATATTCACAACTGACTCTTGATTTTGAGATAGAAGATAATTTAGTTAAATTATTCTTAATTTTATTATAATTAGGAGAATTAATTGCTTTTTTAATCTCCGTGTAAAAATTTTAAACGACTTATATTTTTTAACAGAGAGAGCAACAATTCTTTCTTTAATAATTTCGCCAGGGATCCAAGAAGTTTTCTTGGGTGGATAAGCAAATATATACCAACTCCGTTGAATTCTTAACTCCATCAAATTGAATTAGGCCAACTAGCAAATGTAATTTCAATGTTAAAAACATTACTATCTTCCTTGTCGAATTTCAGAAGCCTCAATTTTTTATTTTTTTATTTGATGGAATACTATAATTATTATACTTACAAGAATGCTAATAGCATTTCTGTTATTTCTATTGTCATTTTTCATTAATACAATTTTACTTTATGAGAATTTAACATATCGAACAAATACAATTGGATTGTATTTCCTGAAAATTTGAGATTATTCAACTTTTTGAGATCTTTGTATTTACATTATTTATCTATTTATTTAATTAAAAGGCTTAATCACATACTTTAAATTCAGATCCATTTGTAATATATATGGATTAATATATTTGTCAAAATTGCTATAATTTTAATAATGAGTGTAATTATTCCTTATCTCATCTGTGTATTCTCTTCTAAAAAGAATTAGTGATTTTTATAATTTTATTACATTAATTTTTTCATATGAAATATAATGAAATAAAAAAATTTATTCCATCATGTCTTCTCGTCAATAAATTCAAACTTGAGCTAAAATTGGATTGGTGATAAAATTGAAAATTTTTAAAAGATGGTACATAAATTTATTAAAATTAAAAATTTGTGATAAAATAAAAATAATTAATTTTATAATTTTCTTAATTGTAATTAGACCAAATTAGGAACAAATTATTTATGCTGATTTTTTAAAAAAAAGGAAAATATGCATAGTAATATCATTAATTATAAATTTGATTATTATTTTGTTTCCAACTTTATTAATGGCAATACCCAAGAGAAGCCTAATATAGCTTATGAACTTTTAAATGAGACATGTTTTGTGTATGGAGAAGCTCTCTGACTCTGTGATTGGTCTTATCGCAATCCTGCAGTACAGCTAAGGTTCCGAGTTAAATCACGAAAAGGGATTGGATGATAGAGGACTTCGTTTTGGCCATTGCAAATGGCATGTTGGGTACCTGTCGCCTGAAATTTGGACATAAGGACCCTCTGCCTCACCAAGAGCCGCCCCTTCAGGATACCAATAACATGCATCTTTAGGCAAAGGTATTGCCTACAGATTAGGGAATGTGAAAATTATTGTATAATTAAATTTTTGAGTATATTTAGTTTTTTTAGTAGTCTTCTTAAATAGTTTTATTTTATTTAAAAATATTTTTATTATTATCATTTATTTTATTTGCAGATTTACGTTAAATTTGAACTGTACACAACTCAATCCGTTTATGATCCGTGAATTTACACATTTAATGTATTGAATTGAGTAAAAAAAATCATTGATCCATATACAGAGATACAGGTCAAATACTTTTAAATCAATAAATCCAATCTGCGTGATGTTGTGATGTTGGATACTATAAGATCCACTAAGGCGGTCTATACCATGAAGATCCTGGATATTACTGAGGCCATCTCCCACAAACTGCAATCTCAAGGGTGGTGGACAACAAGTGGCTTTACTATAATAAAAGTCTCTCTTTTGATTTTTACTGTTGGATTCAGATTCTACTGTTTCAAATCAGCTTCGGACACTTGATTGCAATTTTCAAATAGCTCCGACACTCAATTGTAAACTTGTAAGAAAAGAAAAGCTCAGACATCCAATATATAATAAACCATTAAACAACAAAAAGCCTTGGAGCTAGCCAAAGCTGAATTGGGTGGTTTGCACTTTCAAGTAAGAGTACTACTAGTACTCTACTACATGCTTAACTTCATAGGATAGCAAACTGTGCTGTGTGAAATCCAGAATTTCCCTAGCACGAGCCTTGGGCCTTGGGCCTTGAACCTGTTGGTAAAACCTAAGAGGGCCTGACTTGATTAATGGAGTGCGTCTCAAGATCTCACTATTAAGTACGGACCATGAAGATTAGGAAATAGAAAGTAGTGAGTTTTTAGTTATTAATTAACTATCAAATTTACATTTCACACACCCACACACACGTGCTGCTCTTTGTTATATATATTCATTAAATAAAAATATTTACTGCAATCTTCCATATTTTATGTTCTTTATACGAAATTTGATTAAAAATATTTATAAATAAAAAAATAAAGAAATGATTCATAATAATTTGTAAATTTCAATGTTATTTAATTAGTTATATTTATATTTAAGTAAAAACTTAATTAGTATAAAAATTTTAAATTAGGGATTGTATTAAAATTTTCACTTTAATAATTTTATAATTATTTTGTATACTATTAAAGATATTTTATTTTATTGTAATATTTTTTTTCTATTTTTTAGCCATTAGAATTAAATTCAAATAGAAAATTTATATAAGTAATTAGATTAAATGCCTTTGTTAAGATTATTAATTGACTTATGATTAACAGATATCTTTTAACAAACCAAGATAATTATCTATGTTCTCTTGAAAAAATAAAACTAAAATTATATAAGACAATATTAGATTTTCCATTTGAAGATGATTTTGACAAATATATAAAATTTTCAACTGGTCATTTAATTGATTTGGATGACAAAGTAACTTTTTTGAATCTTCTATATGTGAATTATTTTTTCAAGAACTTGGTATATATGACATATACAAATGAATTATCGCCATTATGCGCCAATAATATTAGTGGAGGAACAAACCGAACTTACAAACTCCATTGATTGAAGATATGCATATGCAAATCAAAATTTAAAATTTTCAACCAGGTAAAATCAAACATCATATATTTATTTAGTATGAAACCCCCAAAAAGAATGAACCAAACTCTCATGGAAGAAGGGATAAAAATGTCGAGCTATGAAGACAAATGAGTAATTAGGAAAAGGAAAAAAAAAAAAAAAAGGAATCTCATTTTGGAAGAAGGATAAAAATGTCGAGCTATGAAGCAAATGAGGTAATTAGGAAAAGGAAAAAAAAAAAAAAAAGAGGAAAAAAAAAAAAAAAAGGAAAAACATATCTGAATATAGTTTATTAAAAAGGGAATAAAAGATCTAAGAGCGAAAGAAAAAATGAAAAGTAGAAAATTATTAAAAATTTATAATTATTTTATACACTATCAAAAGTTTATTATTTTATTTTAATTGTTCTACCTTTTACCCAATTAAAAATTTAAATAAAAAAATAATATAACTAATCATATTACCTTACCTTTATTAAGATTTTTAATTGACTTATAATTGTAAATCCCAATTAAGATATGACAAAGCTTACTTAAAAGGTACAATATATTATTAGCGAATTAATATTATACAATATTACTGAATTTAATATTAATGTACAAAATATAATTAAAATTAGAATATTCTAAAAGAAAATGAAAATTAATGATATAATATTGTTTTGTTTAATATTAATTAAGTTTTGTTTTGTTTAATATTGTTTTGTTTTCTTAGCTGGTCCTCCTCAACACACTCGCTTCTGTTCACTTCTGGTGTCCTCCAGAACGCATCAACCGAAGTTAGTTACAACTTATAACTTACAACTTTCAACTCTATCAACAAGCAAATATCCCCTGTTACACTACTTTTATCGTCTTCATCCACTACCAATAATATCACGCCACGTCTCAAAACTTTGAACATCTATCAATTCATTGGTTGATTAGAAGTCATCTGCTCATGCAATCCTTTACCGAGACGTAGCAAAACAAAAGTCCATTCCTTCAAGCCAGCCTTATTAGTTGTCAATTTCAAAACTAATTCTTGTCCTAATAAAACACCTTGAAATTTTCCATCTCTTCGATCATTTATCTCACTCGCACTGTCTTCTTCTTTTTGCGAATCAATTACTCGACTATAACAATGATGTCCAATTCCGGGGATACAGAAGCGAAGAAACAATCTGATGAGTCGACGCCGTCTCAAATTCCGACTCCGACGGCTGCTGAGGTTGCTGATGCAGAGTCAGGAAATGGATTCAGTGTAGGGGCTATCACGAGGCGGTGGAGGAGAAAGGAAATTTTGCAGAGAGGTTCGTTGGGTTTGAGAGGATTGGGTTTTTTATTCTCTTTGCTTGCTTTTATTGTCATGGCTAGTAACAAGCACGGCGATTGGAAGAATTTTGATAAATATGAAGAGTACAGGTAGCTCAAATTATAATTATTAGTTTTTTTTTTTTTTTTTTTTTGATTGGAAGAATTTTTGATAAATATGGAAGAGGTACAGGTTGTCTCAATATAATTATTAAGTGTTTGTTTTTTTTGTTTTTTTTTGGGTGATTGTTGTTGAGTATTGAGTTTCTGGTGTTTATTTGGGTGTAGATAGTTCTATTTTTTTTTTTTTTTTTTTTTGGTGATTGTTGTTAGTATTGAGTTTGGTGTTTATTTGGTGTAGATATTTATTGGCAATAGCAATACTTTCGACTTTGTATACGGGAGCGCAAGTTCTGCGTCATGTTCATGAGCTTTCTACTGGAAAACTTTTGCTTGAGGGACGGAATTCTGCCATTGTAGAGTTCTTTGGCGATCAGGTTAGAGATTTTTTTTTCTCCTTTTGTCTTTTTATGTTTGTTTGGTTGCTAAGAAATGGTGGATAAGAATAGGACAGGAAAATCTTAAAATTGATGGAATTTAACACATTCTACATTTGTTACATAATTACAATTCGAACATGGAATCCCTTAATTTAGGTCATAGTCTCAACGAAGCATATTACATGCGTTGTTGTAGAGGAAAGGCTGTTTCCGCGGGAAAAGTAATTAGCACTTTCTAGAACTATTTTTCATGATAAACATAGAAAGGTCTCTGGTTTGACTTGGCATAAAGTCTATGAGTCAATAGATACATGCGCTTTGATGTTCCTCTTTAGTTTTGCAATTTTTTTCCTCTTCCACTAGTCCAAATGCAAATGTGTCCCAATTTTTTAAAACTTCAGTTTCATCTTGTCATTTTTGAAGGGACAGTTTTCTTTTTCTTGGTTGCTATTGGAGCCCACAATTTTTCTTTTGATGAATTGCAGATTGCATCCTACCTGCTGGTATCTGCAGCTTCAACAGCAGTTCCCTTGACGAACAGGATGCGCGAAGGGGCAGATAACATATTTACAGACTCCTCAACAGCAGCAATTAGTATGGCATTCTTTGCGTTCTTCTTATTGGCATTGTCAGCTCTTATTTCAGGATACAAGTTATCTACTCAATCCTATATATAAAATTAAGGTTTCTTTGGATTTGTCATTCTTTTCATGTGTGGATTGTTGATTCTAAATAGGTAAAATACAATGTGAGAAAATACATATATGGAATATACAATCATGTAAACGATGTGCTCCTTTTTTTAATTTATCTGTATCTATTTAGCTGATTAAATGTATCTGAAAGAGCAGAGGGTTTTACCAGTAATCTTTGATTGTTCTTTTTTTTTTATGTGTTAAATGCTGAAAAAAAAAAAAAAAAAAAGCTCGAAAAAAAAAAAAAAAAAACACAAAATTTAGCTCGTCATTGAGATGAAAAATAAAACCATTTAGGTCTCTTTTAATTCTCTACTAGTTATTCGTTATGCTGTGATTGTGACACAAATTGAGGCCAGTCTGTTAAGCTTTAAATAAGGCCTCAAAAACAAATGAAAAATTTGCACTACAGCTTTATACTTACCACATCATTACAAACATATCTAATCAATGATGTTCTCTGGATCCTAATTGCTTCTCGGAATTAGTTGACTGTTTCTAACGATAAAGAAAGAATCAAAAAATAAGTCATCTTTTGGTTCTTCTTAGCTCCGGAGAGAACAACCTTGTGTGTACTGTGTTTGATTCATGTGCGAACCTCGGTATTGGTCTTAAAAAAAAAAAAAAAAAAAACACAAATCTTAGCTAGTCCAATGAGACTGAAAAATAAACATTTAGGTCTCTTTAATTCTCTACTCAGTTATTGTATGCTGTGATTGTGACAAATTGAGGCCCAGTCTGTTAAGCTTAAATAAGGCCTCAAAACAAATGAAAAAATTTGCACTACAGCTATATTACAATATTACAAACATATCTAATCAAATGATGTTTCCTGGATCCTAATTGCTTCTGGAATTAGTTGACTGTTTCAAGATAAGAAAGAATCAAAAAATAAGTCATCTTTTGGTTCTTCCTTAGCTCCGGAGGAGAACACACCTTGTGTGTACTGTGTTTGATTCATGTGCGAACTGGTATTTGGTTTTTCAAAACCAGAGAATCCAATGCTTCCTGGATTTTGCAACATTTCAAGGGTGAATGGTGCTTGACCTGCTGATGTAGGCAACCTTGCAGTGTGAAGAGTGTTCGGATAACTCGTGTTGGCTGTGGCAGAGGGCCTAATAGGAATAGGCATATTGCTATTGTTGGCACTCAGTGCAGGTCTGTTAGATGCATAGCCACTGCCACGAGCTGCCGGAACATCATGGTTGTGCTTCCCTTCATAAGTGGTGATCACTGCCCTCGTATCATGCGATGCTCGTTCTACGTGTTTCCTCACAGGACAACCAATGGATGTGCATTTGTAGTAGCTCCTGCAGATGATAAGATGATTTGAGAACAAAATAACAATTTCAATTTTGTAATCCACAGTTCTGGATTGATTCCAGTATGATTAAGCAAAAGTAAATTTGATGGCTGAATTTACCTTGGATTGGGATTTCCTTTGACTACTTTCTGTCCATATTTCCTCCATCTATAACCATCATCAAGTATGTCAATATCACTTGTTGTTTGAACTACAATTCTGGGTTCTCTGACAGTCCTACTCCCAGCAGCCAAAATACTCTCATTTTCATTCTGTCCCTTGCTGCAATACAAAATCATCAGAATTACTACTAATAAACACATTATCCAAATGACATTAAAAGAGAAAAATTTTTCTCAGCTTACAATCTCTTGGCTTCAGGTTCATTTTCATCATCATCATCAACAGAATTACTAATTGGCGAATTCTGATCGAACTCGTCTTCTCCAACAGAAATAGAAGAATCTTCCTGCATGGTAATGGAGTCCATTGGAGGAACTGATTGATCTGATTTCTCTGAACTAGCTCCTTGCATTGCCTGAGAAGATGATCTTGACTGAGGCTTATGATGATTATGACTTCCCTTATAGACTATTTCAGTAATCTGTCCATCTAAAGATCTCTCTACTTTCTTCTTTGTTGGACAATTTGGAAATGTGCATTTATAATAACTACGTGGGTTTTCACTTCCTTTGACCTGTTTCTGTCCATATTTTCTCCAGTTGTATCCATCATCAGATTTTCTTTGCTCTCTCATATATGGAGCTGCTGGTGGATTGTAGTGATTGTGAGTGGGTTGAGCAGCAGAAGATTGAAGTGGAGCCATTTCTGACAACAAACTCTGTGTTGGTCTAAATTCTGACTTTACTGATCCTGCTATTTCTGGCGCCAATTCTCTTTGTTTTGTCGTTTTGTTAAAATTCCATGCTTCTTGTTGCCTTTTGATCGATTCCTCCTGTCAAGTGAACACACTTTTTTAATTTCCATTGAATATTATTTTTTAGTTAAAAAATATTGAAACTTGTCTTCTTCTGTTTTTTTTCCTTAAACTTTTTGGATGTTACTTTGGTTTTGCGGTGGTTGTTCTATTTCTAAAACACCTCAAACTAGAGTTTAAAATTTTAGACGCCAAACGTTAAATCCAAGTGCATTGAAACACAATACCTTCTAACTTTTTATCCAGGACAAGAAGAAAAATAGAATTGTGACCAAGCAGACATGTGGACATCATTTCAAGTTGACATAGCTATGGTTTATACTTGTAAATAAAAGTTAAAGCAAGGTCCAATTATAAAAAAAATAGCGTCTATGAAAACAGAGTAATTATTTCTATTGGATAATTTCATACCACTGAGACAAGGCTTGAAGAAGATTGAAAGATGGAAGAAGATGATGATGATGTAGGAATAGGATTTGTTTGGGTTGGGAAAGAGAAATCATAGTAATTTTTCTCTTCTCTTCTAACACCTCTTTGATCATTATTATCACTAGAAATACTCCTCCAATTGAAAGTTTGACCAGCAAAAGATCCGGTAGTTGGAGAAGGAAGAACCTGAACAACAAAAATAACAGAGAAAAGGATTAGTGACATGTTCCATACAATAAAAATAAAGAAATAAAAGAAAAACCCAGAAATAAAATGTAACTAATCTTACATTAGAGGCAGAAAAAAGAACAGGTGAGTCCAAAAGTTCAGTTGGGCTTAAACCAGGAGGAATTGCAAAATAAGAAGAAGGAGAAGGTGGAGGAGGAGATAAAGGTAAAGAAGGAGGTGGAAATGATTTGAATTTTGGGATTTCTATTCCTTGGTCATAAAATCCCCAACTAATATTTTCCATATCTTTTGTATTACTGTTATTACTGGAAAGAAGATTCACAAAAGAAGAATTAGAATTAGAAGAAGTCATAACCAGTTGGGTTGAGAAAGAGAATCTGTTTTGAGAATTTATAGAATTAGTATTCAGGGTAGAAGATGGTGAGGAAGCCATGAACGAAGAAGGTTAAAAATGAAAGAAAGAGAGAGAGAGATGAAGAAGAGAAGATAAAATGAGGGGGTGGTGACTTGGTGAGGTTTGCATTAAGGTCTTTCTCCATGTTTCTTCTGAGAAGCTAAAAGCAAAGTTTGACCGTGGAAAAACCATTCTGGGTCAAAGCTTGTGGGTTTGACTGGACTGCATTTGGAAAATGGCGGCTCAAGAAGAAGAAATAACTAACTCAGCTCCTTTTAATTTTTGTGGCGTGGAGGCTCCAGGCTTGGCCACTTGTCGTTCCAGCTGAGACAACATCAGAATGTAATACTTTGTTTGGGAAGGAATGAACAATTTTAAGCGCATGGAAAATAGTAAGGACACGAAAAAAAAAAAAGAAGAAACGAAGTACAAAATATCAAGTTTTGCTTATTTTTTAAAAAACTTTTAGAGTTTTTTTTCTCTTATAATTAAAAATATAAATGTTTTACAGTAAATTAGAGATTATATTATAATTAAATTAAGATCAACCTAACTAGCAATTAGAAAGTTAAAGAGAACGTAAAAATCTTTTTATTTTATTTTTAATTATATATTTATTTCTTTTGTTTTTAAAAATTATATGTATATAAAATTGTCTGCATAATATATTGGTAATTGATTTTGTAGAAATGTGATTTTAGGTTAAAAACTTAAAAATAACATAACAAAGGTTTATATATTTAAGCATTTTTTTATAATTACTCCTTAGTAAAGTATTTTTAAGATATTTATTAGTTGTTTAAAAATTATGTTTGGAGTGATAAATGTGTAATTTTGAATATTTTCTGTTTACTTTTCTCCCAATTTGGGAACTTTTTGTTCTTATTTTCCTTTGCCATATATTTTTCTTGCTCAACAAACAAACGAAACCCTGACGTGGCTTGCTATCAATTCAAACAAAGTATAAGAGATAAAAAATATATATAGTTGAGTAGCTAAATTATGGTCCACCAATCAAAAAATTGTAGCCTAGTTACTAAGCTAATATTTTTAATTAATAGTGGTTTAATACTTTAATTACAAGGAATCAATAAATAAATAAGTGTGGTTATTGTGTAGTTGTTTCGCGCTCTTATATAAAATGTAGCTCCTTTGAGTGATGAACATTTTTTTTTATTGTTGCTTAATAAGTTAATATAAATATATATATATATACATATTCATTTGATGATGATATGTTACAGTGGACCGGCAGACTTCAAGGTTGTCAAGCTGTTTGGCAAGCCGTTCTTTTAATTTTTGTTGACAGATTTACCCTTGCAGCTCAAAGCTTGACCATTTCAAACGTTGACCAGTTAGTAAATTAAACTATATATATTATATTTTGTCCAAAATACGTAACTGAAATGGTTCCATGGTGTAGTGGTTAGCACTCTGGACTTTGAATCCAGCGACCTGGGTTCGACTCCCGGTGGGACCTTTTTTGTTTTGAGCCAGTGTCTAAACCACTCTTTCTTTTCAACAAGTTCCTCTAATGCTTATAGAACAGGATTTCTATTTTAAGGAAATTTTTGTTTTAATCTCTCATATTTATATCTCATTAGTCAATAAAAACCAAATACTCCATCTTATAATAGTAAGATTCGTCCACCTCTTGCATTTGAAGTCAAACATTAGTGGAAAATCCAAAAATAAATAAGAAAAAAAAAATACTAATTCTATAATTATTTTCATTATACTACTTAAAACATCTCAAATTACCGAGTTGGTCAAAAAGACTAATTAGTATATGAGTCCTTATTTACTTATCTAAATATAACTGTAAGACTAAATAGTACTCACTTAAATTGATTATTTATTTTTTTTAATTTATTTCATTTTACTTGTCACTTTAGAAAATCAAGTATTAATAATTTTTCTTAATTTTACCCTTATTTTTTGTTATTGCCACTAAATATGGATTTAGTAAATTTTTATTTTTTTTTAGAATTGAGATGGTTTAATAATTTTTTTTATAGCATTTTTATGCAATTTAAAAAAGTGTCAATTTTAATTTAACGAATAAATTCACTAGGGCAAATGTGCTTATTGAGGAGAATAGCGATATTTCAATAGCACTTGATGACAGGGTGTACAAAACAACCGACCGAACCAATCCATTTTGATTTGGTCATCTTGCTCAAGAGAAGTTCGGTTTGAACCGAATGGATATGGCAAGAATTGATGAAAATCAGCCGAACCAATTGGCTCATTTCATATGCCAACTTCAGTTCGGTTTCTTCATCTTGATTCGGTTCGGTTCAAACCCAACCGACCATTTGCTCAACCTACTTAACGAGACAGAAATAATAGGAATACAGTTGAGAAATATAAAATTAAATTCTGGAACTAGAGATTATGAGTTGTGTATTTTAAGTATAATTGACAGAATGAATAGTAATTCACACGTGAAGAAAAATAGTCGTAGGAACAAAATGGATAAAGAGAGAAGAACATACATTTTTCAAGGGACAGACTTTACACTCCTTTTGGGTTACATGTTTCTTACTACAGAGAACATCTATTTTGCCATTCAAAAAGCATTAACTTAAAAAGCTAACGTGAATTTTCTTTTCTCGTGCACTGCAATACAAAAGGGATTACATGAATATCACAACCCAAAATTCCAATACGCTCTGGACTTGGCCTTACTTCAGTCTTCACTGCTATGGAATTTATATTTGCTGACAAATGCACCCTTCAAATTATTTATGAAATTACATCTTCTAACTGTAATTTCCAGCACTTGGGATCCAATTCAGCCTGTCAACAATGGAAGTGTTACTTCGTTTAAACCCACCGAAACTAGTGAAGTTTTTGCAGAATCAAAAATATTAAAAATTCTCTATTTTTTAGTTTCAATTTCGCCCATCTGACTTATTATAAAACTGTGTTTTATGGTATGCTCAAATGATGGTCAAACTTAACTACATTTGCACAAACACATTATATCGATATTAATAAGCAAATCTAAAGTTCTGTTGCCGTGGCAGATAATTTCAATCCAACTACGCCTATGCTATTGCTTAAACGACAAAACAAACAGCGATCCAAACTCATCTTGGGGCAAAAACACATACCTGAAACTCTTTATCTCTCCATTCGAACACACAACCGCGTGTTTCCAGATGTTCAAAAAGAGGCAAGGGAAGCAATGATTTAAAAGATGCATGGAGCTTCACTTTTGTTAGACCTCCACATGCCAACAAGGCAGCAGCCAGTCCACTTGGAGTCAAGCCCTTCGAGTGCAAGACAGTCATGTTTTGCAGGCAGCTGATGCTGGCAAGGGACAAGAGCCCCACATCCATAACTGAGCTGTACGATAAATTAATCTGCATAGCAAAGATATTGTACGTATCAGACTAGACCCTCCTCTCTATGTGATAATTCAGCAATCAACTGAGATAAGAGGGAAAAGTGCCTGTTTGAGGTTTTGAGAAAAGTGAGCAAGCGGAAGCATCCCCGCATCATCAATATTGTGACACTTCTTTATGTCTAACTTAATGAGTTGCCTACATCCCACAGCAATGGCTGATAGCCCCAAAGATGAGATCAGAGGACATCCTCGACTTTCAAATGTGTTTAATCTCACACATTTTGATAGTGATATCAAAGAACTATCAGTAATATCTTTGCAGTAGGATATATTAATCATCTCAAGGTCAGGGCAACCAGAAGCAATTGCTAAAATCCCTGAATCAGTTATTCCAGCAGACCTGCAAAAGAAACTACAATCCATCAGATCATGAATTTCTTATTATTTCACCTAAATCCATGCATAAACAAGAAAAAAAAAAAAAAAGAAGAAAAAAAAAATTGCAGTACATAATTGGGTGTTCTAATTATGCTACCAACGGTCACATCACTTGATGGAACTAAGATAACTACCCACAAAAACAAAGATCGACATCACCCTAGAGAATAAAATAACAAGTACAAGGTTAAAAATTAAAAGTCGTTACCTGTACAAGTCAAGCTCAGTAAGTTTCATGCATTGCCTGCCAATATAAGCAAGTCCTTCGTCACTTATGTTCAGGCAAATTCCTAATTTCAAGCTGGATAGTTTGGAACATCTAGAAATTGACTTCAGGCCTGCAAAGAGAGTCAAAATAAGTATTCCACGTAAGAAATTAGATGTCATTTACAGTAAAGCAAAGTGAAGGAGAAACCTTCGTCATCAATCTCATTATCTGTGAAATCAAGCTCCTCAAGCAACTGGCACCACTGTCCAATTAATACAAATGCTTCTCTAGAAACCAGGGTACATGACTCCATTCTGAGAGAAGTGAGGTTTGTGCAGGAATTCGTAATGCGGGCAACAGAAACGTCAGTTATTTTGCGACAACATGTGATGTCTAGCTTCTTCAACTCTGTGTGTTTGGTTACAATACAAGAGAGACCTTCATCAGTCACTCCCAAACACTTGCTTAAGCTCAGCTGCCTCAGTGTTATACACCAATTTCCAAGGGCCTTCAGTCCAGCAGAGGTAACCATGCAACCATCTAGCTTGACTGATTGCAACGCTGAAAGCTTTCTCAGACTATTGGCAAGTGGTAGAGTAACCTGAAACAACACAAACACCACCAAACTGTAAGTAACATAATCAAAAGAATAAAAACTGTTGAAATATATTAAATAGAACAAAATCAAAAACCTTACAGGAGAGCCATATGCTAAAATCAGTTTCTCTAAACCTCCAGCGCCATCGATCAAGGAAGACAAACCAACATGAGTAATGTTCTGACAACTTGAGACATCAAGTGTCTGTCCAGAAAATAAAATAAATATCAGAAATAAAAATCAAAGTTGAGTTTGAGTCAATTAGAAATAGAATTTATTATTACGGACTGATATTGGTTGAATGCTTGTGCAAAGTGTATCTTGTGCTAATGTATACTCAAAAAAACTGCTAAATATCTCATCCTTAAAAAAATATACAATCCCAAAATTTGTTCCATCTTATGTCGGATGTAAAATTGAACTTGCTAGCAACAAATTTTATGATATTGCAGGGGATAATAAGGCGCAAAAAATGCAAAAAAGGAAGGAAAATATATAGGATCCCATAAAATTAACTCAGTTCCAGTTTCAAGTCCAAATCAAATTATTAGAGGTAATCAGAAAACAAATAACAGGCAGACAAAACTAGTAGCTATTTAGAAGTCGATCCAAGACATCACACCCCAATCTAATTCTTTAGTCATCAGTTTTCATCTGATATGTGGAGCAAGAAAGAGGGATGATAACAAAATAAGATACCAATTCCAATTAGTTCCTAATAAATATACCTTCAGCGTTTTGCACCCATGTTGTTGGAGGGCAGCAAGGCTATCATCATCAATACCAAAGCATCCTTCCATAACCAAATCTTCAAGATATTGGAGTTTCAAAATGGATGGTAAGCACTTATTTGTAATCTGGCAGCAAAGGAAACATTTGAATAAATCTAATTGTAAACTTTTTCTATGCAGCAAGAATTTACATACACCACAATTTAGTGCCAAGTACAGAACAAAACAACCAAGATAAATATGTCAAAAATTAAGAAATGTAACAATTACTAAAATATATTTAAGTCATAGTTATAATTAACACTCTTAGCACAAAAATGAAAGAACCCAAATTAGAGACCAAAACCATCAAATTAACTTATATTTGGTTCAAAATTATGTGGAAAAATATAAATAAATTCACAAAGACACCCAATCTTAAAAGGAGAGTAATTCTTACAGGCAAATAGGAGAGATCCAAACTGCGGATCTCCTTACACTTGACAGCAATCAAGCCAACCCCCAAATCAGTAACACCTAAACACCACTTCAAACTAATCAATCTCAATTTCTTGCACCCAACCGCAATACACCCAATACCCATATCTGTAATTAACTTGCACCTCCCCAGCCACAGTCTCTCCAGATTCTTGGCCTCCGCCACGGCCGCCGCGGCCGCATCCCTCAGCTCCGTTGTGTTCGACAAGTCAATATCTACCAAGTTCTTGCAATTCAAAGCCAAACTCATCAACCCATTGTAAGAAAAGAACTTAGAACGCGAAAGATCGATAGACCTCAACGAATCATTGCAGGCATTTGAGATGACCGTTAATGTATTGTCGTTTATTCGAGGACACAGAGAGAGATCGAGGTGGGATACATATGGGTATCTGTTGAGCATTCCAGGGAGGTGTTCTTGTCGCAGAGGCTTAAGAGTTTTGCGATGCTTGGATTCTATTGAGTAAAATGATTTGCAAACTAAAGAGAACGATTTTCTATCAAGTGGGTTTGTGTTGAGGAAATCTAAGATAGTGAAAACAATCTCTTCAGAGAGGAGGTCAAAGATGTTATTACTGCTTTTGTTGCTATTACCGAATTCCAAGGTCTTCTGCTTCTTCATGGCTTAACAAGCCAAAATGGTGCTTTGGGAGTTCAGTTTTGAGGGAGAGGGTAGAAGGTAGAGGAAGAGAAATAAGAGTGTTTATATAAGGAAGATTTATGTGTCCTTTGAGATTTTTGAGGCTTACAAGAAACCGTTAACAGAAAAATAATATGGTCCGGTGTATTTGTTTTAGTTAGTTGGAGAGGAAGTGAGGAAGAAGACTCCCAAATTACGGTAATAGCCTTTGTGTTGTTTTCTAAACGAGAGATTGATTCCTTTCGTTCTCTTCCGTAGGGACGATATTACCCTTTTAGAATACTAAATACAATTTTCTTCTTTTGTAATAACAAAACTACCCTTTTTTTGTTTTAAAAAAAATCCTACTGTTTGTTTTTTTTTTTCAGAAAGGGAATGGTATTTAATAATTAGTAATAATATCGAAAAAAATTCTGTTAATGAAATATATGCATTATATATTTCATTGATTAAAAATTTATTTTTTAAATTAGGATAAAAAAATATTTTTATTTATGAGTCTTCTAATTTACATATAGATGATTAAATTTTTCTTATCGAATTAATAACATCTAATTTTTAATTTATCAAATTGACAAAATAAATTTAATGTGATCCAAAAAATATTATTTAAGTGATAAAATATGAGTTGTTTAATAATAATAATAATAATAATAATAATAATCATTTTTAATATATTATGAATTATTATTTTTGAGTATGACTATTTTTTAATCAAAAAATAAGGAGATAAGTGCTCTCTCTTTCTCTCAAAATTTAAAATTTAAAATTTTTTATTTAACGGGTGATCACTTATATCAAACATATCATGACTGTTGTAATGATATTATTAGAAGAGTATATAATTTTAATTTCATAATTAATATAATATTAATTGAAAATTAAAAATATCACTTTTCTCCTTAAAAAAGTTAAAAATATCACAAATGAAAATAAGAAGTAATTTTCTATAAAAGATTTAAACGATTTAAATTTTAATTGATTAATCATAAATTCAACTCAAATTTAAATTGACTTTGATTTGAGCTTGAAATATTTGAGATTGAGGTGGTTTACATTTTATGTCTATAAGTATAGAATTTTATTGTTTATGACGCAAGAAAATCATTTTATTTTGTTTACGAATGCTCTAATTGGAACTGTAAATGAAATGAAATAATTAAATTAAATTTTTGTATAAAAGAAAGAACGAGGAGGGGTAAAACTGTCGTTTGAGAAAAGTCAGGAAGATCCGTACGGGAAAGGACAAGTGGGACAAAGAGTAAAAGGTGTGTAGTGAAGTGAGGGTAACGGAGTCATTAGTGGAAGTCGTTGTCTTATCGCAAGCTGAGACCATCTTATTCGGTGGAGGACTATATGAGGAAGGACAGATTCAAGTGCAGACAGTACGTACAAATTTATTTTAATATTTATTTATTTTTTACAAACAGAAAACGGAAGGACGAAAATAAAAAGAAAAGTATATTTATTTTCGCCGTACTTATGGATGGTGCTGTGTGGTACCAACCTTTCTCAGGTATGAACGGTACTACAAATTTAAATTAGTCAAAAAGGATTTTGATTTTTGGTCGGGGAGGTCATGACTCGTTCAGGTCGTGCCCTAGCCCTACCCTCCTCCTTGCTTTTATTTTATATTTTATTTTATTATAAAATTAAAATTATCTATTTTTTTATAAATTCCTTTTCATCCAATCAGGTTTTAAAATTTAAATCTTCTGATAAAAATTTTAATAGCTCCATTTAAACTATTATAATTTCAAAAAATAACTTGCAAGTTTGATGGAAATCAATATCATATTAAATAGTATGTTATAATTAAGTACAAATTCATATTAAATAGCATAAAATTACCTCTAATTTTCAAAATTAAATTTGAATAATTTATTTTTGAGTAAAAGTCACCCATATTTAAAATTAATCTGAAAAAATCAATTTGTTTTAAAATTCAAACGAAATCAAATAAAAATGGCAAATAAGTCAAGTAAATTTATCTTATTTTTTTGCCATTAATAATAGAAATGATTTTTCAAAAATGAAAAAGAAAAGCTTTTTTATAAATATATATTTTTATATATTACTGAAATAACTTCTAGATTTTCTCTTTTTTTTTTTTAATTTGGAATTTTGAAAAATGAAGGGAGCGTTGGTACTAGATGTGTCCTTGAGTTGAGGTGACTTATTATATTTTTATTTTATTAAAAGCATTGATGCGGGACGCGTGGTTTAGAAGAATGTGACATCTCCAATCAGCAAAGATTTTCACTTTCTTTTTTCTCGGTGAGACACTGATTTTTATTCCGTTTTCTTTACCTGGTAAAGGTTCTCAGCTGCTCTGTTGCCAACTTCAAAAATCTCTATTTCTCTTTTTTTTTTTTTTTTTATATATATAAATAGAATGTGACATCTCCAATCAGGCAAAGATTTTTCACTTTCTTTTTCTCGTGAGACACTGATTTTTTATTTCCGTTTTCCTTTACTGGTAAAGGTTTCTAGCTGGTTGTTTGCCAACTTCAAACATCTCTCTTTCTCTTTTTTTTTTTTTTTTTTTTTTTTTTTTTTATATATATAAATATCATTTATTATAACGAAATTCAAAGTTAATATATGATATGCTGATACTTGCACATCCCACATGATTAAAAAAAATAGTGTAAATTATTTAATATTTATAAAATTATTATGTCTATTTATAATTTTATGAATATGTTATGTCTATTTAGCACGTACACGCATTGTATATTTTTTTTATATTAATTTTTTCTTACCATTTTAATTCTACAAAAATATGCATGATTATCAATAGTTGTTCCTCTTTTTAATTTGATTTTAATTGAATTTAGAATTTAAAAATGACTTTAAATATTTAAATTTAAATTACTATTACTTTGTAATCAACAGCAATAGCACCCCTTATCCTAAGCCACCTTCCGTTATCACGTATATAATATTTTGGCTTTTGTCTTAAACAATAGGATTATATTATCTAACAACCTATGATTTGCCTAACCAAATCAAACCCAAGCTAATACGAAACATTATTTTTTCTTAAAAAATTTTTAAAAATTTTGAAATAATTAAATAATATTTAATTTTCATTCTTTTAAAATAAAACTTGTTTATTTCAATTAAATGCTTTCATTGTAAAAAGAAAGATATTTGAAAGATTGGATGATAGCAATATAGTGATTTTTGGAGGCCCGCAGCCCACTAGGCTTGTTTGTGCGCGGTGCCCACGGTTCCTACGCGGGGGCGGGGGCAGTTAACGTCATTTATTGAGTACATGTTTGGTACAGTCGTATAAGTTGACAACTGTCTCGCTTTTCTTTATTGTATTTTATTATCATTCCAGCTTCTACCTAGTGCTCAGGATATTCATATTCCCTGTCCTGCATTGTTGCATACGGATATTCAATACGACAATTTTTTTTTTTAATTTTAAAAATAAAAAAGCAATTTCAGAAAAGAAGAAGAAGAAGATGATCAAGAGAGCGTTAATGACCGAAACAATGTGATTTATTAAAGTAATGCCTTTTCAAAACAATTTGCAGAGAGTAAAATGAGAGGTTTGCTTTTATTAAAACAAGAAACTGCCGCTCATGGTTTCTCGTAGTTTTTCTAACAAAAAAAAAAAAAAAAAAAAAAAAAAAAAAAAAAAAAAAAAAATCGAAATGGTTTAAATTGATCGGTTTGATATCTCAAGAAATCAGTTGTAATTTGATTTTGAACGGAAAAAAAAAAATTCATCAGCTTTCAATTTTATACATTTGCCTAACTGAATTTATTTTATGTTTAAAATAATTAAAATGATTTAAATGTTTGCTCTAATTTTCTATAGCTATTTTATCCAATCATGTTCGTAAGTGTCATTTCTAGATAGATTGCAATATTATTTTATTTAGAGGCATTCAATCAAATTGAAAAAATTAATTTGATTCAATTCAGTAATTAAATCTGAGTATCCACTCTTACTTTTTTTCATGAATTAGAATCATATCAAAGCTCTTTGAATAGAATTATGGGTGAGCATTAAAAATATAAAATTTTTTAAAAATCATTTTAAATATTTTTACTCAAAAATTTTAATATCTCCCATGATGTTAGAAACAGTTGGATGCTTAAAAATACTCATTATATACTTCAGAAATAACTAATTGTCACGATTTAGGTAAAATGAAGTCAGTGCCCTTCCACTCGGGGCATCTAGCTCTCCAACTCCAACTATTTTGGGCAAAAGCATTAAAAATGGATACGCACAAAGATTATAAATAGATTAACATTTTCCTTTCTTTACATTAATTTTAGAGTTTTACGGACAATTTATAAAATAACGTTCTCTTTAATATTTGATAAGATACTAATAAAACAGCTAATAATTATTAAGATAGCTTATAATTAACAATTAATTTTATCGAACAAGACTTAGCTGTGAATTCATTTAACTCTTATAAGATCTCAATTCTCAAAAACATTTAAATGAAATCATCCCATGTCTGGGAAAAAATTATAAAGAATTAAGATGAAGTTGTTCATGTAATCAATTATGGTGTTTATCTTCTAAATTACGTCCAACTCTTATAATTAAGTAAAAGATTTTAAATTCTTAAGTTATAATCACTTAGTGGTGAAATCTATTCAACTGCTAGGGGATCTAAATTCTCAAACCCATTTAATGATGTGTTGTATATATAAATTGCTCAATGAACTTGAGCATAAAAGTTTTGTGTCCTTTTATATTTTAGAAATGACCTTATTTTTTTAATCTATGCATACGTGGCGAGAATCAAAAGCATCGGGTGAATAATACGCGCGACGATATGGACCAGTGACAATACAACTGGGAATTAGGTTGCCTCGATAGATATCATCTCACTTGGTTTGGTTTTCCCTACATTCTCATTCTTTTTCCTAAAACTTCAAAAAGAACGCAAGAACCTCTACTTTTGAAATATTTAATCCTACTCCATTTTTTATATTTTTGATTTTGTATTTGTTCCATTTTTGAAATATTAACAGCATTAATATAAGTTTGCCCTTGTATAACAAATGTCAAGTAAGCCTCCAATTCCATCCTTTGCCGGAGTTCCAAGAACTCCCCGTTGCTCTCATTCCTTGGCTTATTCATTTCACTAGGCTTTTTCCTAGATTCATCCGTCCAGGTGGGTCTCCATTTTGATGCACAGACTTCACATTATCTCATTTTTTCTCTTTCTTTCCCTTTTCCTGTTGTTAGGACTAGCAGTTCTGGATTTGTTATTGTTGCGTTTGAGATACCAATAGATTTTTTAGGAACTTTCCTTTTCTTGGTAGTGGTTTTGGGTTTGGTGGCACCATTGCTACTATTCAAAATGAAATTCTGAAAGTTTTGAAGAGATGGGTATTTGGGATTGAAAAGCAGTGTGCTTTAACGGCGGAAGAGAAAGAGAGGACTCGCTGACTTTCATCTTTTGTTTTTTTCATTTATATTGCTGATTTTCTTTGTGAAAGTAGATTTTAAGTTTGTGAAAAATTTTTGGAACTTAACCTCCTTTCCCAAAAATGGAAAAAAAAAGATGGAGCTTTGGAATTATGTTTATATAGATTTTTTTTTATTTTTTGAGAAAAATCAAACTAGAATTTCATTAATTAGAAACTGTATACAAATATGGGAAACAGATCAATATGTTTCTATATTTTTTTTATAGAAAGTCTGATAATAAATCTCTTATACAAATAATAAAAAAAATACAATCTTGATTTGAAATATCTGATCAAGTTGCTGGAGCATAATATTTGTGCCATAGGCGATTGCTTGCTCCATTTAGTGGCTATTCATGGCCACCATTTGACTCTACGGTCTTTCTACAAGTTTGATCTAATTACCTTCAAATTTCTTCTTTCTGTAGGAGTGGAGATTTGCACTTTTTTCTGCATAATCATTCAAATAATAAAATACTCTAAATAAAATTACCATAATGGTGATAACAATAATGCATAATCATTCAAATAATAAAATACTCTAAATAAAATTACCATAATGGTGATAACAATAACTCAAAACTAGATCTGAGAATAAAATTTCAATATATGGGCAACAATAAATTTCAATATATGAGCGATAATAACTCAGATCTGTTTACAGATTTGAGGATTATCGGCAAAAAATCAAACAAAAAAAAAGGGATAACTACCGATAAGAGTTCATCGTTGGCCTCCTGTGAAAGAAGAGGAGAGATTTTTGGTTTTCAGAGAAAGAGGGAGAGAGAGGGAAAAAAAAATACAACCTTAATGAATCATATATTTGTTTAGAAAGAAAATTGGGGGTTGTGTAAAATGATGCAATTTGGAATATATTTCTTAAAAAAACTATCGAATGAACTTAGATTTATATATATTTACATACACTTAATCACTAAATTATGAATTTATAAATAAAATGATATTATTTTGTTTATTTTTGTACATATCATGGCATTAATCTCTTTGTTAAAACTTAGAAGACAAATTATTTACAATGAGATTTTAATTAATAATTGATTTAATTTATATGAATATAAATGCATATATATAACAATGAATAAATATAAATATTCATTAAAAAATAAATATTAATTATTAAATATTTTATTATAAGAGTATTACTCATTCATGTTTTTTTTTTTTTTCTTTTAATCAGAAAGAAACAACAAGGTGAGGTGATTGATTTTAAAAATAAATAAAGGGGTGTATTTATTTAAAAATACAAGTACATTGAATGTCCAACTTGTTCTATTGTTATTAGGTTGCCACATAAGATGTTTTTATGGAGCTGACTCACTCAATCCGCAGAGTGTAATTCATATCTCATTTTTTTGTCATTTTAAAAATATAAAAATCATACAATTTTTCTGTGCAAGTTCAGGGGTCAACTAATATATTCGGCCTTTAATGATATAAATGAATTTATCCCTTATATAGTAAAAAAGTACAAGAAAAGGAGAAAAAGGGCACACTCACTTTGTTTCAATACAAAAATAGAAAAATAATTCTCAAAAAAAAAAAAAAAAAAAAAAAAGAATTAAATTCTCAAATAAAAGAAAATAAAAAAAATAAAGAAAAAAGAAAAAAGAAAAATCAAGTTCTAGCCCAGACCAAACAATTTGTCTTCAATAAAAAAAAAAAAAAAAAAAAAAAAAAAAAAAAAAAAATCTAATGGATTAGATAATGACCAACAAATTACATAAACAGATAGACAGCAACTAGTTAATTATTCAGAAATTTGATACAGTAGCCAGTGAGCTGATTTAAATATTCAGAAATATAATCTAATCCAGTCAGCATTTACCTAATATGCTTGGCTTTTAGTTCCACTTGTTTCAATACAATAACTAAGAACTAGTCTTCAGCAACGTAAACAACTTCCCAAAGTGAAAAAGATGTTTTCTAACTTTATACAAATATATACTGTACAGGAACGCTGCCAATGTTGCTGATGCAAATGACATCAAAGTCAACTTCCAGAATTCCTGAAAACCAAAAAAGATTGGCAGGAAACCGTGAATTCTGAAACCAACCCCTTAATCATAATATATTGAAAATTCCAATTCCCAGGAAGAGTTCAAAAACCTGTGGGTTCGATATAATTATTCCCATTGCATATCCTAATAAGTCCAGAATAGATTGAAGAGAGTTTTGAACACCTCCTACGACACATCTATCAGATTCAGGAACTTGATCCTGTCCCGACAGACACAACAATTGCACTTAGAAACAGCATGGATATAATGGGGATATAACATAGAAGCAAAATCCAGGAAGTTTAGAGTACCAGCACTTGTTGAATCACAGATAAGTCGAACATCCATAAACCCAGCCGAGAAGTTGCAACTCCAGCCATTAATATGTAAGCTGATAAAACTTGTTTTTGGACCCATATTGAGCCAATACATAGTAATAAGCAGCACCACTGCATAAACACACAAACACACAGTAGTTATAAAAACATCAGCCAGTAAATGAACAAAAAAAAAAAAAAAAAACTTGAAATACAAATATCTACACATGCTAGTATAAGTATAAAACCTCAAGCCAGTAAGATGTAACCCAAAAAAAAATAAAAAAAAACTGAAAGTATTTAATGTCTTCACTATATACCCACATAATTTTATATACCTTGAGTCATATTGACCAAAGTCCCCTGTTCTCGATAGTTAATACATATGGGGGATTGCACAGATTGGATTATACAATGGTTTGCTTCACACTATTCTCCAAATCAACAGCACTTTATTCCGCGTGCTATTCCGATTATGTAGTGCACGGATATATGGCACCCACCATTTCTAAGAGTAGCTGTCATCAAGGTGCCTACAATAGCTGCAAGAGAACGCAGAACACTTTACTTCGTAACAAGTTAGTTGACAAGAAAATAGTACGCCTCACCGAAAAAAAAAAAAAAAAAAAAACTTGAAAGTATTATGTTACTATATACACATAAATTTATATACCTGAGACCATATTGACCAAAGTCCTGTTCTGATAGTTAAAATATGGGATTGCAAGATTGGATATACAACTGTTGCTCCTATTCCAATCAAAGCACTTATTCCGCGTGCTATTCCGATTATGTATGCAGGTATACCTTCCCATTCTAAGGTAGCTGTCATCAAGGTGCCAAAGCTGCAAGAGAAACGAAACTTTACTCGTAACAATAGTAAAAAAATAGTAGCTCACTGGTTGAGTACCTGGTGCACAATTTAGTGGATTAAAAAAATAGCAGAACCTTTATACTCTACTACTCAAAGGGTGATTACATCTCCTGATTCTACCAAAGAGAAAAAAGGAAAATGGCAGAACCAATAAAAGAGCATTTTACCTGAGGACTGTGAAATATAATAAAGCTAGAGCTATGCCAGGAAGAACAATATCTTGTTGCAAATACACATTCCAGGCACCAATACAAGGTGCTTGAGAAACCCATTCAATTAACTTAATTCTCCATTCTTTTTCCACCAATGTTGAATTTTTTTCCTCATTTTCAGAAATTAAGGCCACTCTTTCACTTGAAAGAGTTTCAAGATCAGTCCGTAAAAATCTTGAAATCTTCCTTTGGCTACTTTGATCTAAAGCTGGAATCCCTTTGTATACACAAGTAAAAAGCCAATACTCTATCCATACTGCAATACTGTTCCAGATTGCTAAACTTATAGCAGAGGCTTTAACTGATACAAAGCTAATTATAAAGCCACTAACTACTGGAGCAAAAAGCTTGCAAGTTAAATCAATTCGTCTCATAATTGCATTCATCTTTGTTAGTACACCCACAGGATAGCCTTCTGATATCACCACCACCCTGTAATTTAAAAGTAGCCATTAATATCCCGTTCAACTTGAATGATACTACTAGTATTAATTCGTTAATGTGCAAATTACCATTCTCTTTCAATTAGTATGGTACCAGCGAGAGTGGAAAGCACACCAACAGCTCCAGAGATGTTAGTTAATGCCACAAGCGATATAAATACTGTAAAATTTGTAGATCTTAAGGTTGAAAAGATTATCAATGTGATTATTGTGCATCCAGCAACTATAAAGGAAAGATTTTGGGTCACCAACCAGATTTTCAGAACCTGCATATTCAACCAGGTACATAATTCTTTAGGCCTCGTCTGGTATAAATGAATCTCAGAAAATCTTTTAGAACTCATTTGTGATTTCATGTTTAATATTTATTTCGCAGGTAAAGACTGAAACTTTTGTTGAACAGAATGAATTCTCTACTATGGCCAAGAAGGGTAAATCAATTACTGTTGTGGTGATATAGGATCAATGGAATTAAAATTTCGAGCTCTTAATCAAACCTTAACATATGGTAACATCTCCACCCATTGTCCAATGATGGGGCCAAAAAGTGCAATAGAGGCAGATTCAATAGCTCCATAAATAGCAGGAAGAATCAAAGAATCTGACCATAGAGTGATCATATACAGACCAACTGAGAATTCCCACATTCTGTAGACAAAAATTTGTATGAACGACCAAATTCAACATGGCTGTAGTTATGAATAGTTGAGCAACTACGTCTGATAAAATATTGAAATTGGTTTTCCAGGGAAGAGTTTCAAAACCCCATATTAAGAATCTAACCAAAGATTGGAAATTAATAATAATAATAAAAAAAAAAGAATCCAGAGAGAAAAAACCTGGCATCCCATCTTGCTAAAAACTGGCCAATATACAAATATCTGATATGAGAAAAGTCTTGAGTAGAAGTAGAAGCAGACGAAGAAGAAGATTGTTGTCGGTCACGCAATTGCTCCTTCACCATATCTGCTTGTCTTCACCCACCCATTTGGTCAAAACCAAAGCTTTCAGCATTAAAATCCATGATTTGTGTAAATTAATATAAGATACTAATTAATGAATTGAAAAGGACAATGAAGATGATGCAGAGTTGAAAGGCTTACGAGGTGCAAATTCGTGAGGAACAGTTCTCTGTTACTGCTTATGATTCGGAATCTTTGTTTATTTTGTTTCCTAGTCGTTGATTAATTAAATTAACATAAAGATCAAATTACTACAAACTCCCGTTGGACCTTCCATGTAACATTAAAAAAAAAAAAAAAAACAAGAAAAAAGGAATTTTGGAACATAAGTTACTATGAAGTCTTGAAATTTAATTGAAATTACCACTTGATTCCTCCTATCATTCAGAGAAATTTTGGCCGTTAAACTAATTTAGTCTGTGTGCCCAAAATATTCAATGTTAACACTAAGTAAAAGACTAAATAGTAAATGAATTATAAATATAATGACTAAATAATAACAATATATTAAAGGTAAAAAATCAAACAGATAAATATTACAAGCATTGAACAATAAAAATATAATTTTCTTTTGAATGAAAGTTAATCGACCAAATCTCAAAGATTATGAAGTAATTTTTTTAAACAGTAGGAATGAATTAATAATTTTTATCAAACTTTGGAAACTTCATCGTAATTTGTTCAATTTTGGATGTAAAGATATTTATTTTAGGGAAAAATCTCTAACATTTGTACTATCATATCATGCATAAAGATGGAATTGGACGGATAATTTTTGGTTACCTAACATGCTCACATCCAATTATTGCAAGAGCGGGTTGAGGCAGTTAGAAATGGATTTAGGGGGTGAAAAAAATTAGTGTCCTTGACGGCTTTGGATATGTTATGAGTTTAGGCATATGGGGATCTCCATTATCATTATATTAAACAGGCTTGAATGTGAGTATCCCTAAATATTCTGGTATTTTAAATAGATTTATATTCAAGTAGTGTAAAATTTACAAATAATATATCTGATTTAAAAGCAATTTTTATATATATCGATGATGAATACATATAATAAAATTATTAACGGATTCAAGTATAGGTACTCGATCAAATTTGAATGGATATAAATTAACAAAATTCTAAACAAATATAGATTGTTTTTCTGTTTTTTTTTTTAATATATAATTTTCAAGTTGATCATTGCTAATTGTTTAGTCAAAGTTTAATAATGACTATTACTTAAATGTAATATATGTAAATAAATCAGCTAGATTAGTTGAACCATCTGATCATCGATGAGAAATTCTTCACAAAAAAAATGTATGGCGTGGAATAATGCCGCTAACGTTTATTTACCATCCGAAAATACAATAGTAGCAACTTCCTATATCCTATGCACCAAAGGTAGGTTATGAGCCACTTGTCAATCTATTTAACCTAATTTTTAAAAAACTTTTATTTAATTCATTCATAAATAAGCTCTAAAAGTGGTAATATATGCAAGCATCCATATTTCACGATATTAAATAGAATAATTGTATGAATTTAACTATAAATTGCAAATCTTTCTTAATATTTGTATATAATTCTTAAAAGAATTACTGTTCCGTCGCTATTTTATAGCCAGAATTAACCACTCCATCTTTGCTTTTTTAGAAATATATTCATTCCTACGTGAAGAAAATTGTCATTCCGTTCACCTTTTTTGAACGGAACGACTAAACGGTTGATGGAATCAATTTTTAAAAAAGTAAAGTAAAAAGTGATTAATTTAGGGATAATAATCCAAGAACATAATATTAATTTTCCCTAATTCTTAAAGAAAAAATATTTACAAATTAAAATCATATAGGGTAGGGAGACTTATTTACCAGGATTAAAAGAAAAAAATAAAAAATAAACGGCCAATGTTTAAGCCAATAATATTCTCGTCTTAAAAGTGCAATTAACAAGTCATTTTATGATTACTGAACAGTCTCAACAGAAAAATACACCCCAACGAAACTAAACCAGAAGAGGAGAAAAATTAACAAGACGAGGAAAAAGAATAAAGATTGTTACAAGCACATAAAACCTGAGGCAGAGCAGAAACGGCATCATCCCTACAAAACATGAAAAACATAAAAGAATGGTTCAGGAGTTAATCCAATCACAAGTGGTTAACAGAATGCACAATACATTTACCGAGCCCCGACAATGCACAAGAACATAGAACTATACCGAGTACCAACAATGACGATATGATTTTATAAGTTAAAGCATCTAAATGTGACTATAAAGCCTTATTTTTTAAATATCTTGACTATTCTATCTAGGTCTGATCCCAGAAATAGTAGCCTGTAATTGCTTTCCTACACCAACTCTTCGAGAAAAATTTTTGGTCCCGAACTTGTTTCTAGGATGCAGCAATTGCATTCACCATCATATTCTGGTTCTTCGTGCCACATCAGCCATCCTAGTAGTTATACATTTTCATATTACCAGCATGCTTCTTGACTACTGAACCTTATGTTGTCAAATTATTCGCGAAGAATTTTGCTGCCTTATAAGGACAGAACAGATTTTAAATAGGACAGATTAATAGAGACATACTGAAATATGCAGTATATAATCCAACAGCCCAAGGACTGATATTATAACAGAAGGAAGGCAGCCAAAGCAATCATGATGGAAACAAGAACTTCACAGTAGACAAAAGAAAAATTCCATGAAACCAAATTAAGAAGTGAGCCAAAGGTGCCAGTAAAGAAAGTTCAAATGAAATTTCACAATTCATTACTATTGTTAGGGCTGTAAACGAGCCGAGCTTGTTTAATAAACGAGCTAAGCTCGAGCTTGGATCAGATCATTAGCTTGCGAGCCAGTTTTATCGAGCCGAGCTCTCAAGCTAGCTCACAAGTTAGCCTTGTCGAGCAGAGTTGAGCTCACGAGCTAGCTCAATAAGCCAAAATCAATTAAAATCCATATTAAAACGATGTCGTTTTGGTTAATATATTTCAAGCTCGGCTCATTTATGGTTACCGAGTCGAGCTTGAGCTTAGCTATTTTTAAATGAGTCGAGCTCAAGCTCAGATTTCTGAGCTCGGAACGAGCTCGAGAATATCTTTATTGAGCCGAGCTCGAGCTCATCAAAGCTCTGCTTGGCTCTTTTACAGCCCTAACAATTGTAGAAGGCTAGCCTCAGTTACAAGCGAATGAGTAGCATCTTATAAGAACATGAAAATTGTTCAGCATATTATCAAGATTCTAATTAAACAGAAAAAGTAGGTACGGGAAATTCATGGTCCAAGCAATGTCAAGCAGCAATCGAGATTTATCTTATATTGGTTCTTTGATTGATGATTGTAAGTTCTCAATACAGCACATTCCAAATTCAACTCTGCATTTTTCATTAGAAAATCAGTGAATCAGTTTGCCTATTCATTAGCTAGAGCAACTGTTCCTATCTTTTCTTTGTTGGCTTCAAATGAATGGGAATCTAATCCCCCATCATTTATTCATGATGTAGTCATTTTTTATTTGATTCAATAAAACTTTCCTCTTAGCTTTAAAAAAGGAAAAGAATAAAAAAAAACACACACACTTCAAGAAACATCTAGATTTAGGAATCTTAAATTACTGATAATTGGAAGAGATTGCAATTTTCCAACTTAAATTACATATTGTCAGCTATAAGAATAATCGCCTATCAATGACACAGAGCATTAACCTGAAAATAAAATCCTTAAATCCTCAGTAAACCAAAGGTGATCTCAAGCCCATCATTAAAATTGTAGGAAAATAAATGAAAACAAAATAAAGTAAAGTGTATCACACAGCTCAAATCAATTTTCATATGTTACTTTAAAAAGTCCTACTGGAAAAATTGCCACTAGTTCTTAATTTTCAGCCTTAGAAGTTGATTGGTGTTATTAACCAATTATGTTATGAAAAGCGATTATCTTGGAATGAGAGCAAACCCTATTTATGCAACAGGTCAACCTCCCAATATGTACCTATGGTTCTGGAGAAGTATCAACAGCACATGATAACAAACCATGAATAGCAACAGAATTGTAACTACTAATTAGTAATGAATTCTCAGAGAAACATACTATATCAATCAGGTGTAGATCACAAGATAAATAGTTGATCAGAAAAACTCAAACGAAATGTAAATTAAATATAAAAATTCCCAAGGAAAGGATAAATGGAAGCTCACATTGATTGTTTCGGCATAAAATTCCGGCAGCTCTTATTAAGAATCACCCTTCAATTCGTCAGAGTCTGAATCACTGGCATTATAACCTGTCAAACAATCGCCACAAGGAAAACAAAGGTAAAACAATCAGTACAATGTAAATGGAAGCAACCGATACTGATTTAACCAGAGGTATACCTGGATGCTTATCGCTGACTTTCCAAACTGAAGACCTAGTCCTTGATGCTCTTGTCATCCAAATCCTTCCCTGCAACCCAAAAACAAACGATACCCATAAGACAACACAATCAGAGGCAATCGGAAAAAATAAAGAACACAGTAACAGGACAAGATGAGGAAAATAAAAATTAAAACAAAAATCTCTGATTTATTTCAGCAAACAGATAGAGTAATCTTCAACTCTCAGAAACCAAATCAAGAACAATTTTAACAAAAACTTCCGTTCCCTTTTTTCTTTTTTTAAAATTTCAACCCCTCTCACAAAAATTAATCAAAACAACATAGAAATCAAAACAGGCAAAAACCCATCAAATCGGGTAAGCAAATCCGATAAAACTCAAATTCAAAAAAGAAACCGTCTCCAACATAAGAACTAAAAAAAAAAAAAAAAAAAAAAAAAGAAAAGTAATGAAAAGAAAAAAAAAAAAAAAAAAAACAAACCTTTTGGGGTCTATCTCTAGGGCACTCCATGATTCCACTATAATGTACATCGTTGATACTGACCAAGACTGCAGTATTAATTATCTCCCAGACTTAGCATCTTGAGGTGTCTTCTAAACCATTTCTCTTTATACGCAATCCGAAAAAAAAAAAAAAAAAAAAAAAACAAACCTTTTGGGCATCTCTAGGCACTCCATATCCACTATAATACATTTGACTGACCAAGACCTGCATATTAATATCTCCAGACTTAGCATCTTTGAGGGTGTCTTTAAACCATCTCTTTACGCAATCCGATACAACCTCCGATAAGGGCAAGCGCGCGTTGATGTTGATATTGCTGTTGTTACTGCTATTACTGTTCGTGTTCATATTGTTGAGATTGTCTGTATCCGCGTTGCTTTCCATCTTCTTAGTCTGAACTCGGGACGTGGGTTTTGCGTATTTTGAAGGTTTTAGATGCTTCGCTAGATTGTGTATCTTTGCTGTAGTAGCTGCAAACGATTTTCCCATAAAAATTGAAAAAGGCAATCGAAATTTTCTTTTATTTTATATACAAAATACAGCAATGAATAAGTGGGAATTTGTTTTTTAATCTTTCATTTGTGTGTTTTATAGAGAGACGAGATGGAATTGAGAATTAAGGAGGGTTCTTCACAAAGGAAGCGGAGCTTACAAAGCAGCCTTCCTTTCTTTTCTTAAGAGGATTGAGAGAGGGTAAAGCAAGCAGACACGAAAGAAAGAAAGAAACAGAAAAACGGTGTCGTTATGTGCTTAAAAGGCGGCTACAGTAGAACTTGGTTCAGCACAGTTCCGCTTAAACCAAAAAAACCGAATCGATATTTTCTTATTTCTTTTTATAATTTAATTCATTTAATTTTTATTATATAAAAAAGAGAATAATCAAGTGAGTCAAATTATAATTTTATAAACATAATTATAAATGGAGTATTTTAGTACTTGAGCTTTGTCAATTATTGACTAATAAATTTTTTTCAAGTTAATTATAAATTTAATATTTCAACTTTCGAAAATTTTCTATTTTTATATCAGTTAAAGTGTTTAAATCTCAAAAAAAAAAAAAATTCCAATTAGGCCTCTCCACTTTGCTGCAATTTGAAAATACAAATAGAAGAGTAGATAGATTTTTTTGCTGGCGTGGACATTATATCACCGCCACTTTCAGTTCTTGCTCTGGAACAACTCTCAAGATTTTCTAGATCTCCATTCATAAAAATAATAAATTACAACGCCCATTCAATTTCAAATCAATATTACCATTCACATTTAAAACCTGAAGCAAAAATCTATTGATTAAAATAAAAATTAATTCGAGAAGAACTACAGAAGTAAAATTAAAAACCAAACAATCCAAACCCAATTAAAAATTAAAACATAAACTGAAAACTAAAAGAAGAAAGTACAAAGCCAAAAACAGGGGAAAAAAATCAAAACCCAAAAAGGTCATTAGAGCATATGAAACCTAAAAAGCTCTTTGTTCAGTAGTTGGGAGAGAAATCGCAAAAAAAAGGTTGAAATGAAACTTTGAATATAAATAATAGCTAATAAAAGCCCCCTATTGAAGTACGGAATAAACTGCAAGCTATTAACTTTATTTCTGCAAAAACTTTCTCAACAACCAAACAGAAAGAAAGTGGAGATTGAAAATCAAAGAGAGAGAGAGAGAGAGAGAGGAGATTGAAAATCAAAGAGAGAGAGAGAGAGAGAGAGAGAGAGAGATAAAGAACTTGCCTGAGCTAGAAAAAGAGAAGGCAATAGTTTTTGGACAGGACAACGATTTTAAAAATAGATAACAATGGTGTTACCTCAATAACGTTTGGACGCAAATTTTTTCGAATTTCACATGCCTACTCCCTTTGATTTCAGTAATTCCTCCGCTTTTTGTGTTTATTCTAGTTCCAATTTTCGAGATTTAATCATGAAGTTTACGGTAATACCGGCCAGGCGGCATCATTTCAGTTATTATGGGTTTGAAGGAGGCGATCGGAGCAAAAGCGTATAAAGCTGGAAAGAAAAATTTATAGGTTGAGGGTTTTGAGGAGTTTTGGGGAGGAGACTAAAGAGTTGAAGGTGAGCTAATCCGGTGTTCATCCACGAAGAGATAGCACGATGAGAAGAGCTCTAGTTCAAAGAGAGGACTGCTGAGTTGTTCACTACCAATAACTAATCATGTTTGACAACTCAGCATTCATATCCACGTCAGTAAATAAAATCCATCTTGGCACAATATCTCTCTCTTATTTATATTTTCAGTTTGCCTGTAAGCTGGAGGCATATAATTAAAAATTTTTTAAGAGTTTAAACCTTGATTGCAAATATTTTTCGTTAAAACGCCAAAATAAAAAATTTTCAAAAGTGGAGACACTAAATTTATAATTAATCCATTTTTTTTCAATTAAATGTATTTAGTTTTTCTTTTTACAATTTAAAATGAACTAATATATTCCAGTGATTTTCTATTTCATGACGTTTCTTTTAATTGTTCTCTTTATATCATTGTCATTATATCTTCCTTTAGTTTTTTAGAATTTTCTTAAAATATAACAAAAAAATTAGAGGATATTTTTTAGCTGAGAAAAAAAAACAAAAATCTAATAAATATTTTAAACTTGGTAGAGCTTATTAAGTGAAAAAATTTATCAAAATAAAAATAATCATAAGGTTAATAATGTAATTATCCTAGGTTTGACTTTTTTGTTGATGGGAAAAGAGACTCCTCGAATAGCCCAGTTGTCCACCTTTGGTTGTTATTTGAAACCTTGCGTGCAAATTAGCTTAGCTGACCTAATTGCTAATTTTTGTGGATGTCTCCTTCTAAAAAAAATAAAAATAATAAAAAAAAAGAATTATTTTGTGGATGTCCTGTCCATAACCATTGGTTTGTTTTGTGGGTTACTTAAATATCTTATCTTTCTTTCTTTCAAAAAACTTAATCAATGGATTAACATGTCTCATTAATCATCTTTCGCACTAATTATTGTATAATTGAATCCCTATATAATTAATAATATGTCCAATAACATTTGACCTCTCCTACAATCGCACCTCCGTACTTTATTATTTGTCATTTGTTTTACTCTTTCTTAATTGTCATATTTGTATTATAATGGTGTAATTAGGCACGGTGGCGGCTCACTGAACCGTCGGTTTGAGATTTTTAAAATTTTGAATCGGAGGCGGTTCATTGAACCGCCGATTTGAGATTTTTAAAATTTTGAACCGGAAGCGACCCTTGAACCTCCGGTTCCGGTTCTGGCACGGTTTTGACAAACCAACGGTTCAAATTACGGTTCTGATTCGGTTCCGGCATTACGCAAATTTTAAAAAAATATACGGTTCTGATTCCGGTTCCGGCATTACGCAAATTTTAAAAAAAAAAAAATAAATTTTGATTCCGAATTCATGAATAAAATAATAATTTTTAAATTTATTAACTAGTATGAATTATTTATTAAATTTTAAAAAGAAAAACTTCTATTAACTAACTATAGAAACTATTATTACATTAAATTTACAAAATTTTGCTAATTTACTAATATAAAAAACTATAAAATGGAATATAAAATTAATGGAATGACGTTGAAATTATTATTTTCAAATTACTAAGAAAATTATTTTTAAAAAATTTCAATGAAGTAAATTTATGAATGGAAAAAAATTTGAGATCAGAGAAAGAATTTGGAATTGGATGTGAAGAAAAATAAAAAATAAACATAGATTTTAAATTCCAATATTAAAGAAAATAAAAGCAATAGAAAAATAATGAACTATAGAAATTTAAGAGAATTTTGATTTGAGAATAAAGAGGAAGAGTTAGGAGTATAAATTGATTGCTTGAAAATAAAAAATCATCAACTCATCAGTATTTATACATGTTTCTCATTTATTAGTTTTCCAAATTGTCCCTTATAAACAGAAAAATAAACAACTATATTTTGGATAATTTAGTAAATTACAGTAAATAAATAAATAAATGATTAAAAATGAATAAAATTTATTTTACCAAAAAATAAATAAAAAACACCTATCATATCAAAAACATATCCGTTACACTCTGTTTTTTGTACATTTGAAAGTATTTTTTTTATATAAATCAACTATTCATGTACCGTTTTTTATATAAATTAAGTCAAAAAATGTGTATTTTTTTCACAACTTTTTATAATTATGTACCTGTAATACCCCGAATTTTTATTTTCGAAATTTTTGAATTTTTATTAAATCAAAAATCATAAATTTTGGCCGTGTGGGCTGCAAATGTAACACAGTCTCAATTCGAGCCCAAATTTTCGAATTGGGCCTAACCCCAAAATAGTTCATTAGGAAATTTTCGATTTGAGAACAGTTAAAATTTTCAAGAAATATATTTTAACATTCACATGAACCTTAACCGGCTCTTAAACCGCCGGTTCCGGTTCAAAATTATGAACCGCTGGTTTCGGTCCGGTTCTGATTCGTCTACAGTACTGTTCGATTTCGGTTCGGTTTCAGTTAGAATCAAACCGGTGGCCATGCCTAGGTTTAACCCATAAATTTGATTTTAAATTTTGGTCAATTATCTTTGTGGTTTTTTAACTTTGCAAAGGTTCAATAATAATCCTACACTTTCACATTTCATCTTAGCGAGAGATATAGTTATTATTGAAATATAAAATTATAAAATTATAATGGTTTTCCACAGAATTCAAAGGGTCAAAAAAATAATCGCTCGAATTATAATTTATTCATTAGGACTTAATACGAAGGAAAGATGCCACTAAACCAATCGGTGAATACAGCATAATATATTAATATGAATCAAAAGTGACAGCTGATTTCGATAATGGAAAAAGGTCATGCAATAAATAAAACTAAAAATGCGATTGACTTGTATCTAATTTTTTTTACTTGCATCTAATTTTCTACCAGTAATCCTTGCATGAGCATGAACCTTCAGAGAAATAATTACATCATTACAATCAATGCAAAGCAAACACGAAGATTTTTCACAACTTTAACGGTCTGTTTCAAGCTGTGCTTATCAGACAAATAGCTATGGCAATTTCTCGCTGTGACAATCAAGGAAAGGCGTTGGTTTTCCTCTTCTTCAACATCAAGCAACGCATAATCTCTTGTGGGTAAACAATCTTGGCCAATTCACCAAGTTTTGCTTATATATTTTCTGAATCCTTTTTCTTCTTCCTATTTTTGACCTGCAGAACTTGATAATTTCCTGAATTCCATGGTTCTAATGCTATTAATTGTTCCAATACATGTTCTGCCAATTGAGCATCTCGATGAAGCCTTACATCCATCCAGCAAAGAACTGGATTCCCCGAGAACTCATTTCTATCCATCAAATTAGAAGACCAATCCCCAAATTCTAATACTCCTATCCTACCACAAGGACAAAGAAATCCAACCATGGCATAACGATGGGGTTTCAAGTCCTCATTTAACATTTTAAAGAAGAGATCCACAGCTTTCTTAGGCAAACCATTAGTGCATAACCCTGAATTGTAAAACTCAAAGATCTAGTGGGAACGATTTTTTTTTTTTTTTTTTTAAATTAAGCTTTGAAAGACGAGGCCCAAACGATTGTCAGAGATGAGGCACTGGATAATCTCTCCAAAAATCAATACCGAAACATTCTAAGTCTCAATTAAATCACAAATCCAAAATCTCTCTGCAAAATATTTCAATCTGAAAGTGTATAAATCATCCATGACAAATTGACAATTCATCTATAGCTGCAATAAAGAATCATGCAAACCATCATATAGCCATCCATAAAAGGAAGAAGAACATTCTAAATGGGAAGAGATGTGCACCATGAATCACTACATACAAGATTACAAAATTTCACTGGAAATGCACTACACCTCAAAAATCTATGCCACTCCAACACAATTTACACCTGCCAACTTACTAATAAAATATTACATACAATTTTGATTGGTAAAGCGCTTGCACGCTGAGCCATTCTTGTAAATACACATTTCACCCTAGATTCCTCCTGATCATAGAGCAGGGGTGACATATCAACCAGTACACCTTCAACATATGTGTGTGACAATTTAAGACAGGAGAAGAGAGATTATACATGAATATAGTGTAGAGGAAAAGAATAACCAAATTGCAAACATTGATATCCACTTTAAGGGATGATCAATGCGTATCTAAAGCATTTCAGGTTATTAACCATCAAGGTCAAATGCTGCATGTAATTAAGTTTTTTCAAGAATCACTCCAGCTGTCTGTATCATCGTCTTCGTCACTTCCAGCCAAAGCCTATTTATACAAATTCAAAATTGTACATTGTGATCACATGCTTAGATAAACAACAAAAAAATAGAGCGAGAGTGGGAGAGGGAAAGAGAGACCTGTCGAATTGCATTTGCTTTCTCTAATATGGCAGCAACCTTCAAGTTGGTTTTTGGTCCCTGAATACCCTGAATACTGGGCCTTGTCGCTGCTGCAGGCTTCAGGTTAAAGGACTGCAGTGAGGAAATGGGAAAGAATCAGTCTCGACATAGAGAATGAGATGCCATAAAGAGAAGAACAAATAAATAAATAAGTAAATAAAATATAAATAAATTGTCAGAGGTCGAACCTTGGTTCGTATCTGCTCTAGCAGTGAATCTCTTTCATCAACCTTAGGTCCAATCTGAGGACGAACTCGTTCTGTTACCCTTCTCAACTGCAAGAGGTTTAAAATATCAGAACAAGAACTTTTGCAAGCACAAGACATCAGGGGAAGAAAAAAGAGCAAATTTTCAAGCCAGACTTGATAAATCACCATCACCTTGCTTTTGTCATGTGCAGCAACAGCATCAATGAGAGGATTCCTGGGGCGAGGCAGCTTGCTCCCATTTGCTTTTCCAACTTCATAAGTTGGCGGCAAAGCTAATGTAGTTGGCAACCATGTTGTTTCTCTCTGCAAAGTTTCTGAATCGTGTTGAGGCTGGTCTTCTAGCATAGTTGGCGGTGATGCAGGTTTGTCCAGAGAATTCTTTTCTTCTCCTTCTGAATTTTGTACGTTGTATTCTGGTGTCTCTGCCTCTACTATTGATTCTGGTGTCGCTTGGTTCAAGAGCTTAACTGGCGGGCCATGTGAGGGTACAGGATCACATCCAATGGATGTATGTTCTGCAGTTACCACTGCCGATGACATGTCTGGACTAGACCCTATTGGTCTTCCTCCTGAAGTAAGGAAACCATCCTCAGGCCTCTCGTTAGTTATTTCTGGTAAAGTCAAGAATGGGTTCATCAATTGTGTTCCCTCTGATGAGTGAGAAGTCTGTTGACTGTTTGCATCACTAACAACAGTTGGCAACTCCAATGAGCCTCGAGTTGGCTGCAAGCAATTTTCGACTGACTCTGCATACAAGTGGTCCGACCTCTCAATATCAGCTTCAGCAAATGACACAAATGGGTTTGGAAGCTGCATAATCTCTCTATCTGATGATAGAAAATCAGATCGGGATTTCTCATCAGCTTTAAACGGTTGAATTGGCAGAAATGTACCCTCACCAGGACCAATCTCTTCGACCTGTGATGACGGCAGAGCAGGTTGAAATTTCCCTATTCTCCATTGCATAGGAGGTAGAGGCGGCAATGGCGGCATCTCCTCCAGATTCTGAGGGAATGGGCCCAAGCTAGGGAAGCCAGAGTCAAATGGATTCCTTGACAGCATGGTATCATTATCCTGACTTGCTGATGGCATCAGAAGTTCTTGGTTAGGAATAGCATCTTGTTTGGAAGAAGCATCAGGGTATCTTTCCCAACTCACATCACTCATAGTATGTATCTGTTCAGACTGCATATCTGATGATTTAGAACGTGCTTCATCCACTTGCAGACCTCCTGAGTTAAGATGAATGGATCGCAATTCCAATGACTGCTCCGATAGAACTCCAGGCTCTCCAAGTTGACAAGCAGGTGAACTCTGAACATTTAATGATGCAGAATTTTTTCCAGACCGCATATCTGCTGACTTAGAACTTGCTTCACCCACTTGCAGACATCCTGTGTCGAGATGATCAGATTGCAATCCCAATGACTGCTCTGAAGGAACTCCAGGCTCTTCAAGTTGCTGAGGAGGTGAACTGTGAAGTATTAATGACAGAGACTTTTCTTCATCCATGACTGCATGTGCAGATTCTACAGAATTTTGATCTACCGGCAACTCCATAAAGTGTTCTAGAGAAGTTTCTACCTGCGGCTCATAACAGGTAAGTGAACACCCGGCATCTTCACCAATAACAGCAGAATGCCTCCAGCAAGATTCCAACTCCTGGTCGAGTGGTTCTGCAGATGGCACTGCCCTAACATCTCCCATATAAGAGCAGTTTTGTACTTGATCAGTAAGAGCTGACTCACAAACAAGTTCAAGCACTTCAAAATTGGAATGATCATCAGAGGCTGATTTGTGTGGACTGGAGGCCGAATCTACAGGAGCAAATTCTAGTTGTTTTACTTCCTTTTGTTCCACTGGTTCAGTATGGAATTCTGGAAGAACTCCCTCGTTAAAGCCTAACGCTTTCTGATGAGGACTCTCATTTCCTAAGTGAGTCTCTTGAATATCTACAAGATTGCCAGATGAAGAGAATACCAATCCTGTAGATGGACAACCAGCACTGTTGACCCCATCATTAGCATTAGTAGCAACCACAGAAGTAACAAGAGATGCACCCAAATCTTCATCTAAGTTTACATGCTCATCAAGGACATTATCTGAATAATTGGCTCGACGCTCAAAGGGAACAGAATCTTCTCCAAGTACGTTCACATTGCTGGTGAATGTGCCCACTTCCTCATTGCCACCAGCCCCAGAAATTTCTTCAAGACTCATATTTTCATCAGAACATGTTACTCCAGTCAAGCCATCTGTAACTTGTGAAACATCAACTTCTATATCTGAGCATTGATGCTCCTTAATGATATCAGCCTCCAAAGTTTCCACCATGCTCATAGGATTTTCTGAGCTTACTCCTGTAGCTCCAATGATACTATCAACTTCAGAATCTCTGTGAACAGGCTTTACAACATCTACACTCTCAGACACTAATGTGCCATCTGAACCCACATCAATTTCTGGTAAAACTGAACAAGAAAACTGCTCCTTTGATGGTGCCATAACTGAAGGTGGAGAGTCCATTTTCCCTTTGACCAAATTCTCATCATGAATACCATCTCCATTTAAATCTGTTTGAAGTGCTTCGTTCAGAGAAACATCATTGTCTTCCTCTACGAAATCTGGCATTTTTGGTGTATGCACAAAATCCTTTGGATCTTTATGATCCAACTCTTCCACAAGACATCCTTCAGAAGAAGCTGCAAGCATATTATTATGCATCGTCTGGAAAGTATCATCGGAACTTCCAGTAAAAGAATGAGGCAAACCCACCCCACTTTGGTCGATTTCTGGTGATTCAGGAGAAAGTTTAACACAGTCAGTGGTCATTTCATCTAATTTTGCTTCTGCCAAGGAAACTACAACTGAATTTGAAGAAGGAACTGATGGTTGAAGGTCAGAATCTGAAAGATGTGAACTGCAAGATGCTTTTCCAGCATTAGAGATTGCTTCTTCCTGCATGCACTTATTATTGAACACTAGAAGCTCACTGGATTGAGTTCCTAGAGTCTCCACAACACCAGATGTTGAATTCACAATCTCTGCTGTAGAATCTTCAGAAGGTAAAAATTTTCCTGCCCCTTCATTATCAGATATTGTATTCTCAGTAAAATTGCTAAGAGAATCAGAGTAAGAAACACTATATTTTCCTTTCTTAAATGAACTTTTGCCATCATCTGATATGGAGGAGTTTCCATATGACTGAGAATCAGAAAAATTAGCTTGTACATCCATATGATCCTCGTTTGCATCAGAAAATGTCTCATGTCTACCAACCTTCAAAACACCCTGATTGGTTTTAGGTTTGTACTCATTATCTGTTTCCATTTCTGACTCCACATTAGTAAGAGCATCCATGTAGTTATCTACCTCGCTCATCAAGTCATCAGAATGGTCTCCATCTAGACTTCCCTCTATTTTCTCATCTCCTTCAATTGCCAATTCATCTTTAATTGCCATCTTGTGAATGACATAAGAAGATTCATCTCCCTCACCCCCAGCAATTGAGTCAGGGACCTTCACAATTTCTCTATTAATGTTTTCCCCATCCAACTCATGTGCAAAAGGTTTTAATAGAATTTCCTGTGCAATGGGAGACGAATGTGTGGCATCCCTTCCATGTGATGATTTTTCTGGAGGACTAACAACACCTATATCAAGTATTTCAAGCCCTGATTCGCAAGAATTATCGAATGTTAACTTTGGTGGTGATGGATTAACAGAAACCTCACAAATTACTCTATGCTCTGGTGAAGGAGTCCCCAGGAATTTCTCCATGTAACTTTTTCCAGGTTTCAGATCAAATGGAGATCCATTCAGTTGCCTTCTCTTTAATTTCACAAGACGATTGGGATCGGAATGAGCATTCTCAACACGCTCCTCCAAAAATAACTGATGCAGTCTGCACTATTTGACAATAAATTGTCACCAATCAACCACTATAAAACCTGGCAGCTTAAGCAATAATGACTTAAATGCACAAATAGAGGGATAAGTGCCTCACTTGGCATGTGATGTTGGCACCTCTGGGGTAGTTTCTCCATTCCTCCAGCGTGTACCTTTCTTCTGCAAGACCAAATTAAATCTCAAGCATTAACAAGATCCAGCTTTGATCGTAAAGCATTAGATATAAACACAGGTTCACACCAGTATGCTGAATAGACATCGCTACACTATAATACAGCCTAAAAGTTCTTCCCCACTTCATTAGTTGCTCAAGGATGAGTTTCTAGCCACCTTAAATATCAAAACTCATAGCCCGCTGAATTCTAATTCTTCTTATTAAAATGGAATAATTCAAATTTCGGAAGTGTAAAGTTTCCATCTCTAGTTTCATGGATAAACACTCCACATAGAGACAGTCTCACATCTAAAATTTACATGAGAGCCTTTTCTCAAGACTCCATAAATGTAAAACCTAACTTTTAATACTCCCTCCATCCCACAAACATATACTTGTTTCTAATTCCATACAAATTAAGAAAATTAGTTAATATAGTTTCAATAATCAATCTTACTAACACTTTCCCTAATATACCCCTATATTAATATTAGATGTCACTTCCAATAAAAATTGAATGAAAATAGTTTATAACAAGACAAATTAAATAGGAGTATATTAGAGAACTAAGAAATCAATTGTACATTTAAAAAGGAAATGGCCTATAATTTGGGACAAATGAAAAAAGGAAAGTAAGCCTATCTTTGAGGGACAGATGGAGTATATTTTATATTAACAATTATATATCAATCAAATATACTCCAATATAAACTTCAGCCGAAACATAGCAAAGTATACACATCACATGGAAATTATTCTTTGATTGAGAATCAGAGGTTGTACCAGGAAGCTGTTCTTAAAGGCTACAGGGAGGATTAGTAGAAAGATTCATAGATATCCAGAAAAGAATAAAACAAACAAACAAACAAATAAAACAAAAATTAAAGGTGAAAGAGGAAGAAGATCCATAAACAGAAAATACACTCAATTGTACATCAGATAGATATTTGATGCCAAAAGGACACAATAGAACAATCAGAAGGCAGACCAAGAATTCTTTCTAAATAAGCTAAAGATTTTCCAAGATAAAGAAAAAGTTAAAAAGACAGGACCATATAATGCACAATAGAAACTATAGGAAATAAAGATCATTAGGAGTCTTGTTTATCTGTTTCAGCTATGATCATGGTTGCAAGTGATAACCACCATCACTTACAGAATATCCATTTTGACTATATCCTCTCCAAGGAGGTCAAGAAAAAAATATTTTTCTAGATATGCAGCAGACAGAAGCAATTTGCTCCAACAAAATCCTTGAGAACGCATATATAGAAAAATATCAATGCGATAGCCCACATGCTAAGAATTTCCATTCTAACAGTATTAGTCACTGCATACCTTCACTTTTCGAATTTTCTTCTCTCTCTGGACATCTATTGTCAGTATTCCAGAGGATGCTGCTTCAACTCTAAAGAAAGATGGGTCAGTGTAGCGCTTCAAGCATGCTCCAGCCCCAGCAACATCAAACCTGTAAAAATCCAGACAAGCATAAGTTTTTATCATCTCCAACAGAAAAAATTCCTCCTAACTCAGCATCAAAAATTGAAAATAAATAAAAGCATTCTTACTTGTCTAGAAGGAATAAACGTGGGGGACCTCGGCATTCTTCATAAGAATCCATTACAAAACGAGGTAAATCTCCACGAGTGACCAGATTTTGTTCCATGCGCAAATTAGGATGCCAGTCAACACCTAAAACAAAAACATGCATTTAAATAACAGCAGACTTTAGATTTTCACTTCAAAATATTTCCAGAAAATAAATATGCAAATAGTTTTCCAATCTAACCTGTGTTGGAAAAGAATGGTGATTGATCAGTTTGAGAAAGAAACGCCTTCTCAATTGAAGGAACTTCGGCCTCAAGCTGCTGAACGCGAGCCATTAGGCCATGGCCTCTAGCTGCAGTTGCCATTACTTCTTCATGCAAGTCATGAAACACCTCAGCAGCAAACCTTTAACAATCACCGGAAAAAGCAATAAACAAAATTCAAATAACACAAATTCGAAGTCCTAAAAATAAGTAGAGGGTCAAATTCTGTAACATGGTTTACAATAGTTAAAGCAGAAATAGAAGAAATCACTTTCACAAAATGCCAGATGTAGTATGAATGAGCCGTTTTCAAAGATTTGTCAATGTTAATCATGCAAAGAAGAATGCTCAACAATTGTTTTAATTTGAATGGTTCTGAACATTATTATTTCTGATCTACTAAAACTTTAAGTAAATGTCAAATTCAACAAGATTCAGACTACAAGCTGTGAATATCAAATAGCATTTCAAGAAACATAACAGAAGCAAAGCACATATAGAACTTTCGATACTACATTCTAAACAAAAAATCTAGTCAGCAGAAACAACAAAAATCTTGATTCCAAACTAGACTCAATTATCAAGCAGAAACAGATAAAAATGTTCTCTCTAAATTTCAGCAAGCCTCCCACCTCCCCCCTCACTTAAGACCATCAGTGTCATATAAATGACCGATTCAAACCTAAATTATCTACAACCTCCTTCAAACTTCTATAAACAACTTCTGGGTTTATCAAGAAGCTATATAAGCATAAATCAAAAATTTACATTCCAGTGAAAATCAGACTCGAATATCCACTTAATTGCTCATTGAAAGACAGAGACGGCAATTTGAAACTCAGAAAGCTCGGTATCAGAATCCAGAGCATATTCCTAAAGCATTACAACTACATCATCTATCGTCATTTTAGCAATACAAAAATGCAAATATCGAATGCAACAAAAAGAAATTTTCAAAAGCAAACAACTCAAAATTATATATAGAGAGAGAGAAAATTCAAATTCATACTTCAAACAAATTATTTAAAAAAAAAAAAAAAAAACACTCAATGTGAAGCCTTACTAAACTAACATTCCATAAAACAACACAAAATTCAATCGCAAGCCAAGCCAAATCTCCGAAATAAAAAGAAAACGAAGAGAGAGAGACTAACTCAGCTAGGTCACCAAGCTGGCGTAAAACTCCGACGAGGCCAGCCATAGCAACACCTTCCAAAAGAGCCTCTGGATCATCTCTATCGGCAGCTTTATACAGCTCCGGATCAGCCAAACTGTACTCATTTCTAATCTGATACCTTGCCAGCGGCATTTCCACAATTAAAAACACAAAAACAGTATTTTCTAAACATATACCACCAGAATCAAACCCTAATTCTCCTTTATAATTGTTTCTATTTCTTCGATGTTCCGATAAAAACACATTTACTGGAGGAAGAGGAAGATCTTTTTTGGGGCCTGGGGAAATGAAATGAATGAATGAATGTACAGCCACTCCACAGACCAGACAAAGACGTGTAGAGAGTCTTCCTGTGAGAGTGAGAGAGAGTATTTTATTTTATTTAATAATAATATCTGTAACCAATAATAATAATAATAAAGAAGTAATTAAATAAAAAGATTTGTTTGTTTTTTTAGTTGGGAATTTTTGAAGGGAATGAGTGAAACGGTGCGGAGATTTTACATGGTGCTGTCGTTTGCTCGGCGCACATCGTGGCGCTTCTGATGCGCTTGTTTTATTGGATCATGTTATTTCTCTCACGCGTATTTAATTTTATAGCGGTGGGGTTGGGATCCTCTGGTTTTGAGACCAGTGGTCGTATATGTGGTGCCTTATATAGTAGTAGCAAACTATAAAATTGATTAGCTTCAAAATTAAGTAACGAAACTTTTTCTATTTAATAATCATTGGTGATGTGGACATGGTAAAAAAAAATCAAATCTATCTCCTCAAGTGTAATGGACTAACGTCTCGCGTTCATATTTTTCTGTTTTTCTATTTTTAACAGTTTCATAATTCTAATATTTGTTTTTTTCCATGCTCATGCATAATCATTTTTTAATTCATTGAAAGTTTATTAGACTGGAATAATATTATAAGCTACACAATAGGGCAGTTCTCACTTTACTTCATTAGGTTGGAACCTACTCATTTCAGTTCGGTTCGATCTAATGCCTAAGAGAGTTTCTGTTCGTTAGTTCCATTTATTGAAAAAAAAACTTCGGTTTATATTTTGTGACTTCGGTTTGATTTGATTTGAACCGAACTAGCCTTTTGATCAGCCCTAGAAATAAAGAATAAAACCATGAAATTTTTTATTTGATAACCATCATGGTTTTTTTTGTAAATGACATGTTTTTCCATGAATTTAGTAGTTTAAATTTTTTGTATCACAAGTAATAAGTTCATGCATGATCAAACTATTCATAAAATATTCAATGAGTTTGTTTAATCAATCATTTTGAAGGTCTATCAAATTTGTCTAACACAACCAGAATTCAGTTGCACTATTTTACTTATGGCAGTCCTATTCTATATTTGAAATTCAAACGAGTAGTCTTTTTCTCAGTGTAAATTCGTTGATGAATGAAATATACTAGTAAATAAAAAATAATAATTTCATATAGACTATACATAAATTATGAAATAACTAAACAACAATTTAAAATTGCATTTAAAAAAAAAACTTTAATCATAATGTCAAATAAATGTTTGATTCGGTAAAATTAGTTATTGCATTTTCAACGCATGAAAAATAAGAAACATCTACAATTTATTAATTCTTCAACAGTAAGAAACATAAATGTGTGATTGTGACAATAGTGTAACAGTTGATTCAACAAGTTATCCAGTATTAGCATTTAACACACATAAGAAGAAAAGCCTAAAAAAAAGATAATCCAAATATTATTTCTTTCACTAATTATGCTTACATTACTTTAGCATGGGCCCTGAAATAGTAGATTTATTGCTAATCATCAACGCACTTATATAGCCATAACCTTGCGTTTATATTCCCTTAACAATGCCTTACACGACTCTGTGAACTGTGGGGTCAGAAAGACTACAAAACGCGGGACCCACGAAACAAGTATCCAATCACCACATTTTCGCTTTTCGGTTTCATGCTGTATGGTCCCACACAAAAATAATACGAGTCCCATACGAAAATAATACGCGTCGTAGGATTTTTATGAAATATTATTCAGAATCTGTAAGGTTTTAACGTATTTATCTTCCACACTTTGACAGTCTATAGTGCCTCTGCCTAAACTTTCAGTTGATAGCCAAAAAAAAAAAAATCTTTTGATTTGTAACATTTTTTTATAGAAGGGCCCATTCTCCATACAAGAATCAAGGGCGCAGAACTTGTTCCACTGTAAATTTGCAATCAATCAAATCTACTTTTGAATTTTGATGTATGTGATACTATTTCTTTCTCACTGTTTTGAATCGAGGAAATGAGGAAGCTTCATTTTTTTTTTTAGGAGATTCTTCTTCTAATTATATCTTTTCAACTTTCTATGGTTTGTGGTACAAAATGTTCACTTCCTTCTTTTTATTTTTTTCTGGTATCACCTTTTTCATGTTCCTTTGATATTTCATGTGGTGTTGTTATTAGCTTTTTCATTTTTTGTTTGTTTTTTTCTTCTCTATTCGTTGGTCCTAATTTATTCCCATATGGCTATCACATGTCAACTACCCAACGTTTGTGCTTTAGAAGTTTAAATGGTACGCCAAATTCACATGAGCACCATCTCCCTACAACCATTAAAAAAAAAAAAAAAGCTATGAATATTCTTATTCTAATTGTGATTATAATTGCACTTTGAAAATAGGTAATCATAGTCAATATTTTAATTATGTTTTATAATTATATTCAAGCTAATGAATCTATTTAATTTAGTTAATAGTTAAAAATCATTATGTGTTTTTTCTTTACTGGCAAAATAAATTTTATTTTATTAAAATTATAATGTCCAGAAAAAAATTTAAATTATCGAAGTACTATCATGAGACAATAGGGTTTTTATAATCCCATTACAACCAACTTAACCTGAATAAAATTCATGAAATATTAATGAATTTATACAAAGGTTTGTCAAAAAAAAATCTTGGTATTAAGTTATTAAATATCATTTATTCATTATATGTTAATTTTACATTTATTCAATAAGTTTAGGCAGTCTCTGTGTGTGTATATATATTAATGAATTTTATACAAAGGTTTGTCAAAAAAAAATCTTGGTATTAAGTTTATTAAATTATTCATTTATTCATTATTATGTTTTAATTTTACATTTTATTCATAAGTTTAAGGCAGTCTCTGTGTGTGTATATATATATATATATATATATATATATATTATATAATATTTATATATAATTAGGTATGTTAAAATTTTAATTTAAAAATTATATATATAATTAGGTATGTTAAAATTTAATTTAAAAATTGTTTGAAAAAAAAAAAAGGTTAATGAGTGATTAACACAACATCTAATTAGTTGACTTTATTTTTTAATATTGAAAAGTATTGTTATCCGTGAAATATGAACTTTAACATTTATTTTTAAGAGTATTCAATAATTTTTTATGCAACTCAAATGTATTCAAATTAATTAACTTGGTTTCAGTATGGAAATCAAATCTAATAGAAATATTTTAAAGGGGTTAGTAATTTGCTAATTTTGATTTTTGAACACTAATTTTGTTTAGTTAAAAATTAAAAGATAATAATAATAATAATAATGAGGTAGATGACTTAGAACTAGTAGATTATAAAATGTTTGGAGGTGTATGGAAATAATGATGTAACCTTTGCTTTAAAGCTTAGGTAGATGTAGTGGAGGATGGTTTGAGGTATTTGAATAGTTAGGGTTACAATTTCCAACGAACTTTGTGAGGACAACGTGGTGGTTAATATTAGTACCCAAAAGAAAAGAAAAATGATTGGATTTTGTGGAGTGGACTTCCACCACTTCCAATGCTTTCTATTATTATTTGTTTTTTAATTTAATTATCCTGTGTTGCTAAGCAAAGCGTGTCTCCAATTTTGGTACCTCGCGTAATAAATCAAATAGTGTTAGATCAACATAGATCAATTAAAACCTGAAACGTGCCAAACACCAGGGTTCTAAAAGAATTACTTCGACTAGCAGGATAAAAAGAAATAATAAAGCGAAAGTATTCTTGGGATTTAACAGGTTATTTTGAATTAATTATAAGTTAAGTAAGTAAAAACCCACGATTACTCGATAATATTGTTAACGTGAACGTGGTATTAGAAAAAATATTTAGTCAAAAGATAAAGGTAAAAATAACATTGTAGTTTGAAATTATTTGTTAAAATTATGATAGATATTTTTGAAATAAAAAATAATAAAGCATTATTTGAATTCGGTCTCACAAATATTTCACGTATCAAACACCTATAGATAAACTATTTTAAAAATTCTCAAACAAGCAACGTGAGATATTTTGAAATACACACACTGCAATGCAACAAATAGTAGTTGTGAAAATTGTTTGTGATATTCTTTATGATTAAATTAAAAAATGTAATTGTAATTGAGTTATTTTAATAAGGTGGATTACTTATATCATGGTTTTATTACGTGTTTCGAATTGAATTTAGTAATTTCTTTTTTGTTAAATTGTATACGCACATAAATTATTTTTGAAAAAATTTTGGTTTGAAGAATTAAAATTTATTTTGTTTTTCAATATGTTTTGATAATCTTATATCTTCCAAAAGACGCATATCTTCCAAAAGACGCAGGCATTTAGGAGATTAAGAATTTTTGTGATCCATTGATTTGTATCAATAAATCAAAATTATGCATGTTAGGTTGATTGATTTAAGAAAGAATTAAGAGTCAGTTCAAATTTTGATGCCGGTAATTGAACTGAATAAAATTCGATTTAAACCAATTTTAAAAAATGGCTCGATTAAGTCTAGCGCAAAATCAGATAGGGGTCGAACCATGATCATGTCTCTTTTACCCACCTTCCCATCATCGCCATTACTTCTTTTCTCTATAACACGCAACCATACTATCAATTAACTTTCATTGCAACTCTTGCTAAAAACATATGGATAATTACTATTTAGTTCTTAGTTTGAGAAAATCAATTATTTAGTTTTTACCTTTTTAAAAATACATGAATAGGTCACTGTGATTCATTCTAGTTAGACTAATAAGTTATTATTGTTACTTATATGTCTTATAGTCAATTTGATTAGTTATATTTTGGATGTAATATTTCATGTAATAAATATTTTATTATTAATAGAATGCATTTATTTATCTTTTAGATTATATTATTTGAATCTTGGTAAAAGATAAAATCCATGAGACATTACTGTTTTGTAAAATAAATTATAATGTGGTTATAATTATGAGTTTTATATTTGCATTAAAGCAATGTCTCTATATATTTCTGATCAATATTCTCCTCATTATTGGACGATAATTAGAGCTGTTGAGACTGATATATATTATATTAATTTTTCAGGGAAGCAGCGGTTCTCATAAACTGAGATATACGTAATATTTAGAACTAA